TCCATTCTCAGCTTCCTTTTTATCCTTCAGTTTGATTGCCAAGGTAGTTCTTCCAATAGCAGCTTGAGTACTGTACCTCTTGAATTTTGTTTCTGTTTTTAATATTACCTGCCTGATTCCTGTAATTTTGAGACTTTCTAGGTTGGCAAAGATTTTGTGGTATTACACTTTCTTTCCCTTGGAACTCTGTAGAATTTAGGCTGCTGTTTTGAACGGAGTCATTCTCAGGGAGCCAGACTAGACTGACATTTTTCCTTTTCTCTTGGTAATTCTCCTTTATTGTTTGGTATCTGAAATGCTACTTCGTATTTTGGTAGCTCAAAAGTCTACTTGGTATGTAACTCAGTGACAAATATAGTTCTGAAACACAGCATTCTTTTCAATGAACAGATTCAGTATCATATTTATTTCAGAATTGTTTTATTTTATTACATCTCTCATTGCATCTTAGGTGGGTTTAGTTCAGAGATGGAAAGTACCTCTATGTTGGCTTGCTTCTTTTTTTCATTTCTATTAGTGTTAATAAAAATCCTTTAATATCCTTTTTCCTCTCTTTGTTTCTTTCTTTATTTCTGTTTTGTGGTTCTTTCTTTTTTCTTGACAAGGTTTCATGTATTCCCAAGCTGATCTGGAACTTGAAATGTTCCTGAGGATGACCTTGAACTCCTGATTCTCCTGCTTCTACCTCCTGAGTGCTGGGACCACAGCCATCCATCACCTCACCCAGTGTATGCAGTGCTGGGGACCAAACCCAGGACTTTATGCATGCTAGGCAAGGGCTTTACCAACTGAGCCACAGCACCAATCATTTTTTTCCATTTATTTTGCATTTATCATATTTATCTAGTAGCATTCCTCTTATGTCAGCAATTCTATTTTCTGGATTAATTTTGCTTATTCTTAGTTGTGAAACCTATATTAATGCTGGTCTGTTTCTCAAATTGGCTCATCTGCAAGTCTTATTTTTGTCAGATCCTGTTATTTTATTTATTTTTTAAAAATCCTAAATTTTATGTGTATGAGTGTTTTGCCTGCATATATGTAAATGCACCTATGTCATGCAATGCCTTCAGAGGATAGAAGAGGGTGCCGGATCCCCTGGAATGGGAGTTATAGACAGTAGTTAGCTACCATGTGGGTTCTAGGAACCGAACCCTGGTCCTCTGTAAGAGCAGCCAGTGCTCTTAATCACTGAGCCATCTCTTCAGCCCCAGATACGGTTATTTTAATGTCTAATTATGCTTTTGTTTATCATGTGAGCATTTCTTAATCTGTGCACTCTTCTTGACTGTGCTATTTTCTTACGTTTCTGCATTTGCTGATGACAAGGTGTTCTTTCCTCACTCTCTTCCCACTCATCTGACTTAAACTGTGAGAAGATTAGAAGTGAAGGAGGCACTGTCATCTTGGATGGTGTGCAACCTTGGTTAGACTGCTTGGGCTCAGTGTTCTCTTCTAAGATTTTGTTGAAAGTCTTCTGTTCAATAGCCAATCAGGTATTAGATGTGGTTCTAGGTTGGTACTAGACACAGTATCAGTTATTCAGAGGGCACAGAAGTTTTACCTTTTTCTTGGGTAATAATTTGACTATGAGCTGTCCAGCTTGGTGGCTCCAGCTTGGTAGCAGTTCCAATCTGCTCCCTACACCATAGACCCTGCAGTCTTAGAATGATTTGTTTGGCTTTCTCTGTGTTACATTGTGCTCAGATCTGACAACACAGCCACATCAGTCTGTGAAAATGGAAAACGGGAACAAGAGACAGGGCCTTTTTGATTTCAAGCCATGATCCTCAGTTTTAAACATCACCCTTGCGACATGCCTGGAACAGTGATATAGCCACATTTACACTGGTGTGTGTGTGTGTGTGTGTGTGTGTGTGTGTGTGTGTGTGTGTGTGTGTGTGTGTGTGTGTTGGGAAATGCATTCTGTATTCTGGGTAATCTAGTCATGTGCAGGTGGAATTTAAGAATTCATTTATTCTAGCAAGAACTGATAAGGCTGGCTGGCTTGGCCTCAGCAGGATTCTCTTCTAATAATGGGGTGTGGCTTATACCGGGGGTGGGAGAACTTGAGCATCGCTGGACTTCAAATTTGCACACCCAACTGAGAGAACTTCCTGGGACCCTCCATCCCAACAGTTGTCCCAGTAGCTTCCCACTTCTTTGTAGTGGGAAAAAGAGAAGGATGGAGACTTTTGAAGTACATTTAACTCTGGGTATGATGTGGTCAGTGAGGACTCAGTTTGTGTGTGTGCATATGCTGTGTGTGTGTGTCTATGTGTGTGTGTTTGTGTGTGTTGTGTGTGTATGTGGCCCAGCCTGGCCTTGACCTCACTATGCAGCAGAGGATGACCTTGAACTCTCCTCTTAAGCATAGGGATTAAAAGTGTGTAATGTCTCACCCATCCTTGAGTGAAGTTTTAAACCTGTTAATTTTCTAAGCTGCTTTGTGCTCAGACACTTTGGAGTGTTTTCAAAACCTACAGGCATGGCTTTCCTCATCTTTGACTATTCAGAAGTAAACAGGAGACAAAATACAAATGTGATCAGAATAATTTACTGTGGCAATAGACTCTACGAGGATGTCTACACAGGTGGGCACGGGTCATTAGGGATCTTATTAACTGTGACTGGATTGTTACACAATGTACATGTCCATTCACATAATGTCTCCAAATATGTGCAATTATCATGTGCTATATAACCAAAACCAAGCAAGAGATCCCCACCTCCCAAACAGATTTTGAGCAGGAGGCTCCTGTGAACCCGCTAGCAGACAGTGCTTTGCAAGGAAGTGATAGGAGTCATGGAGGAAGATGAGAACAAATGCATCCTGGGTGTATACTCCATGACCTTCTGAATCTTGGTGTCCTCATTTATAAGAGGGAGTAAGGAGGCTGTTAAAACATCACAATGTTGTTCTAGAAATGGACACTGCTGGGGCTGGGGCTGTAGCTTGGTGGGTAGAGTGCTTGTTTAGAATGCACCGAGCCCTAGGTTTGATCCCCAGAACCACAAATGCCAGGTGTGGTGGCTTATGCACTGGGAAGGTGAGGGCAGAAGGATTGGAAGTTCAAGATCATCCTTGACTATGTAGCCAACTCAAAGGCAGCCTGGGATACGTAAGACCCTGCTTTCAAAACAAACAAACAAACAAACAAACAAGCAGTCTAGTGCTCTCAGTAAAAAGAAGTGCTATGTCAGCATGGGAGATTCCTGTCCTCCTCTCCTGTTAGAACTGGTCCCCTCTGCAGTCCCCCTTTCACCCCTAACTACAGGTGATGGGTGCAGCGTTTTCATCCCCAGGTGGTAAGATGGCATCCTGGTTGTACATGCGTGTCAGCATGGGAGATTCCTGTCCTCCTCTCCTGTTAGAGCTGGTCCCCTCTGCAGTCCCCCTTTCACCCCTAACTACAGGTGATGGTGCAGCGTTTTCATCCCCAGGTGGTAAGATGGCATCCTGGTTGTACATGCCTTTTGATGTCAAAACTCCCTTCATTGGGATTTCCTAGGCCCCAAGTTGCTTAAGATTCCTTAGTGCATAGAGTTTAGGGGAGAAAAGAGCTCACTCTTGGCAGAACAGCTTTTTAATGAAACACAAAGAGTTATAATCACCACCGGGAAACAGAAACATCGAGAAATGGAAACATTAAGCAATGTCTTTGATTTGCACAGATACAGTGCATCATCTCCAGTTATTAGAGCACACAGGAAACAGGACAATAAATAATTTTCATGGTTAAGTTGAATGTTTTAATCCTTGTGATGTGTTTAACTTCTGAATTTGGGAAATATTATATAATGATCTATCAGATTAAGCAAAAAGAAATGGTTAGCTAAGCTGCTGACTAAGAAGAAAAGGGCAAATAGCATTCATGTTTAAAGTCTCAAACAACTAAACAAAGACAAGAAATCCATGGTTCCTCACATGTTCCAGTAAATATGCCTAGGGGGCTATGGCTGCGTCTCAGTAGGTAGAATGCTCACCTAGCATGCACGAAGCCCTGAGTTCTATCTTCAACACTACATAAACCTGGCACATGCCTCCTAGAACTCTGGAGGTAGAAGCAGGAAGATTAGAAGTTCAAGACTACATAGTGAGTTTGAAGCCACCCTAGGATACAGGAGGCCCAGTCTCAAAGAAACAAAACAAAACAAAACAATATAACAAAAACACAAAATAAAACACATCTGGGTTGATTTTGATAGACTTCTTACATGCTTTGTGCTTTCTGGAAACATCTGTGAATGTCAGTAGAATTTAACTTCAGTAAAAGCAATTGCCTGGTTTTACCTCCTCTCTAAGCAGAGACTTGAAAATCTACTCAAGAGTTAAGTTTTTGTCTTCTCGGTTAGATGGCACCAGTATCTGGAAGCAGCAGAAAATAGAGGAAACAGGACTCACTGTCCAGAGCAATCCAGCCCCAGGTTCTTATGCTTTCTGGACTAAGGCTTTCCAACATCAAAGGCAGGTAGACAGGCTGATGTTGGTCTGCATAGTGGAGGTGGAGCTCTGCCAGTTTTCCTGTAACAAGTTTTCAAAAGGCCTGATTCAACACGTTTTGGCTCACTATTATTATCATCATTATTATCACTATTATTATTTTAGTCATTATTTTTCTCTTATTTTGGTTCCCCAAACTTTCTATTATTTTCCCCTTTCCTTAAATTCAATGTATATGTATGTGTCAATAGATTTATTGCCTGTTTTCTAAGAGAATAGGACTTACCAATTTGTGAACATCACAAAATCAACTTGACTACTCAGAGACGAAAATTGGATATAATTTGGAATGGAAAAACTTCCACTTAGAAGGTTAGATTTGGTCTTGCTCATCTCCGCAGTGCTGGACTCAGATTCCCACTCTGAGGATGTGTTGCCTTGCTCTCTGCCTTGGAGGTTATTTTTAAAAGAGAACTTAAAAATCCCAGAAGGCACTGGGGAGCAGGCTGATCCCATCATTTTGAACAATGAAGCTAATGGAATAAAGGCCACCAGGTTTGGGATTTTTATGAAAACGTTTAATTCAACTGTTTCTTTGGAATGTGTAGTCGCAGTTTGGAACTTAAGTAACAGTTCATTTCAGGTGGTTTTTATGCTACGCAGTCAGAGAATACAAATGTCATTTAAAGTTAAGGCTTCGCTGTTCATTTTGAAACAACAATTTACAAGTGTCATATCATCATAGAAAATAAAAATTTCTGTAAAAAAAATTTGCACAAAATTTTATGAGGGTACAAAACATGAAGCAATAATATACCAGAAAATGAGACATTTTACTACAGAAAGTCTTATAGATTTCAATAAAGAAAAAATATGTTATTTTACACCTTTAAAAATTACGAAACAATCTAAAACAATATAAACTGAACATTTTGTAACACTGCCTTTACAAATTAATAACTTTATAAACATATAATTTTTAAATATATTTATCAGTGCAAGGTACTTTAAAATGTAAAGTTGCAGTATCAGTTTTCCTTGGCTGAGGACAACAGCTAAGTCTGTTGCCTTAAACACAAAGTCTTAATGCTTTTCTCCCAGTACAATTACAGCAAGTGAATGGATGCCCCCGGGAATAAAAACATATTCTCCTTTCTTTCTTAGTGATTGATACTTTCCTAGAACTAAAGACATTCTTAATCTGATTAAACCAGGATGAATGGATCATTCCTTCCAGGAAGCAAATGTGAGACCCACAGCCATGAAGGGAAAGAGAAAGAGCTCCAGGTTCTTATGTACAACACAGCAGGACAGAAATCCACCAAGGAGAAGCTTCTTTGGATTAAGACATTCACCCCTCTGTGCTGTTGAGGCTTAGGTCTTGCCAGCCCTGAGGCAGGCTTTTCTCTTTATGAGCCGTTGGAAGCTTTGCGAAGCAGTCATTCAAATGTACTTTTTCAGGGTGGCCGCTGAACGGATTGTTCTAAATATTTGTTTCGACTTTATGCATCCCTTCCGCCTGATCTTAAAATAGTTTTACCCCAGGCATCAGGATTTATTGTTTATTCTTTAAACTAACTGTTTTCCCCCCTCCCCTCCTCTGACGCAGTATCAAAATAGGAAGGTTCTCTGGGGTCATTTCTGCATATTTGGATGTAAAATGTTCACATTCTTTTCGATAACTTGGGGATTTTATTCAGTCCTTCCTAAGGGTCTCATCTGAAAGCCAGCTGGTGTTCGTTCTTCCCTCAACTTACCAGAACTTCCATTAGATGCAAACATTCCTATCAAACATCTAATTAGAATGGACTGACACACGGCTTAAGGAAAAAAGATACTGTCACTTTAACCAGTTAACAAGAATCCCAAAGTTAGACTTTGGAGGTCAAAGTTAGGAATGCCCCTTACTTATTTATCTTAAAACATAAAGTCTAGTAAAATTGTTCGCCATCGCCAGCAGGTTAAAGCTGCAAGGTTCTTTCCTGGACAGTGGCAAATGCTTCGCTTCTAAGAGAGGAAAAAAGGACAGAGCGAGGAAAGAGCCAAGAGTTTACATTTGAAAATACATTCCATAGCAAAGAACAACGAGAGAGAATATTGCAGCTTTATACAAAGGGTCAAGAGACATGACATTGAACTTCAGAAAAAAGCAGAATGATTAAGCCACGTTGCCAGTCTTCAGAGCCCTTGCCTTCTTGGGGCCTGGCATCGCACACTAAAATATACTTTCTTCTTAGTCAGTGGGCCAACAGGTCTGATTGAAGAGGAGAGATTTCACCAGAAACAGAGTGGATCATCCATGGGACACAAGGAACTGGTACAAACAAAAAGGCACTTGAGGGGACGCAGACAAGCCAGTGCCGGGGACTTCAGTGGCTGTCATCAGTGGGATACCCAGATGCCAACAGTGTGGTGGCGGCACGGTATTCTGAATGGAATCAAAAACACGAGATTTGGTACAACACTGGAAAACATGAAGAAAATCTGACAGTATTGCTTCATAACAGAGCTGACACACTGTATGGGTACTGAGGCCACAGTACTTTGCAAACAAAACAGCCTAATCCTTCTTTTCCTGTGTGCATCACAGCTGGCGATGCACAAGGTGAACATCAGGAGTCCCCTGAAATGCAGTTATGCTGATGTGCTCCAGACACTGGGCTACAGGATGCATGTCCATCAGAAGAGCCACTGACCAACGCTTAGTGCCAGCATCTTGGATTTTGTAGCTTCCAAGAAGAATCCATCACGGGGAGGGGAGAGAGAGAAAAAAGGGGAAACAAGGCTGAACAATGAAGTCAGTCACACTTGGTCTCAATCAGCATCTGATTATCCAAAAGAAACCAAGAGAACAAAGCGGGCTGTACATGATTCTGGTTGTCACCAGTCACCTGCTCGCGTCTGTCGGCGACGCTCATTGAAGCTCCTGAGAAAAGCCTGGCGCGGCGCCATGGACACCCTTTCCAGCTAAGTGTGAAAGCAGAGCAACAGAGTCCCCACACCTCCGCCATCCGTCCACCTCAGTCCTCCCGTGCTCCCTCGCCTCTGCGCCTTCATGCCTCTGAGTAAGTACTCTGTGGGTTCAGTTTGTCTTTTTTCAACTTCACGCCATCCACAAGTTCAAAGTTATAGTTCTCCAGGGCAGACAGGTTTCTTTCTGACATCCCATTGTGCCAACAGGCACAGTACAGCACGACTCCACAGACAGCACCCAAGAGTACCCCCAGGGCACTCATGGCTATGATGGTGATGAGGATGGGATCCAGGGTTTTCAGCACGTTGCCCGGCTTCCTGGAGATGTTCTTGTCACCATCCCCTTCCTGTTCATATCCTGGGGTACTCCCTAAGAGAAGAGATGAAATTGATTGTGTGAACACTGAGGGGCCATATGTGAGCAGACAGAAAGATTAGGAAAAAGAAAGGAGCCCAGAGTCATTGCATGCTCCAGGTGTGAGGCATGCCAGGGTGGGAGGGGAGGATGCTGGGATTTGGACATGGACAGCTACTCTAATTTAGATCTCAGGCAGCCTCCATTTAGGCTAGGCTGACATATTGACATAGTTCTTGGCCAGATGTGCAGTCATGATGAGACAGGGTTTCCTGTAGCCCAGGCTGGCCTTAAACGCTCTGTGTGACAGAGGATGATCTTGTACTGCTCATCCTCCTGTGTCCATCTCTCTGGTGCGAGGCTTATAGGAATGTACCTCCATTCCTAGTTCCTATGGTGTTGGTGATTAAACCCTGGCTTTGTGCACATTAGGCAAGCACTCTATCAGCAGAGCTACATCCTCCGTCCCAGGGGTGCAGTCACTGAGTTTTGCAAAATAATCAGTCACCCGCTTATCTAGTATGTGGGAAGGATAGATTTAAACACTCTCCTTGTACCCGCCTGACCCAAGTGAGTCTCAGTCCCATGTCATGAGGGGTGCTGTTCCTAGCGTTCTGCTAGGTTTAAACAGAAAATCATGAACATTCTTCTACTCCAAGACCACACTAGTTTCACTGGAGAGATTTTTCTGAACAAATGAATTCCTAGTCCTGCCATTCAGAAAGGACTGTGGCTCCAACTGAGAAACAGTGTCTGTGTCATGCCAAATAGAAGACATTTAATAATCAATGTGTCTACCACCCTGGTGGTGTCGCTGGAGACAGTCGCACTGCTCTGCAGTGGAGTCATTAGGGACGTGTTTTCTTTAGAGTGGAACATGAGAAGTTATTAGCACAGGAGCTTTGAGCCTAATTACCTGGTGCCAGGAGCAGGGCTGAAATGCTAATGGGCAGCTTGCATGGTGTTTACTTAATGGTGCTCTCTGTTCAACTGAGATTCCAATCAGCGAAAACTAAAAATATGAGATGCGAGTCCCTAAACAGGGGAAAACAAGCCTTGGGGCATATTAATATCTTCTCCCTTGATGAAACATTGTTTTGAAACAACTTCTAATAAAGTTTACGGCTGTGTGGACTTGGTAATGTGCTAATATTTCCAATAGCACAGAGTCGTGTTTATTTGTCTCTATCAGTCGGTGACAGGCTATATGTATAGAACCACGTTGACAACAGCAACAGATGGCGCAGTGCAGCACTGCCCCTGGTAGCTGTGAGCAATGCTGGGCAGGAGGTGTGGAAGCTTCTGGGACCTTGCTCTGATAAAATATCTTGCATCTGAGTGACACCGAGCAGCTTAACCCGTTAATCAAACACCCAGGGCCACCCCTTAATTAGCTAAGCTACCTATGTTTCAGTCCTGTTGTCTGTAGGATGAAGTGAACACGCCCCTTAGAACGGCTCTGAGGGTTCAGTGAGATAAGGTGTGCGTGCTGCTGCTTACAGTGTATCATCAACATTATCCATTTGACTGCCAGACTGTGGGGCTGTGGGAAGGAAATGGAAAAAGATGGGGAAAACACAGCAGAGCCACAGAGATGTGGGCTCTGCCTCCTCCTGAGGGCGCTCCCTGGATGGCAACTAGACACAAGCATTTGTTGGCTTCAGATCATTTCGTGAACACAGTCTCCACTACTTTCTGCTTTGTGATTCTTTCAGTGATAAAGCTCAGGGGAGGGGAGGAGGACTGGGTCAGGTTCATTCCCCAGAGTGCAAGCTACAGGAGTATATTAGGGTTCCAGAAAAGTTTCTTCACAAATGTAACAAAAGCCATAGGAAATTACAACGGAAGCTGAGCAGTAAGACTCATTTACCTGTTTCAGCGATTTTATTTTCTAGGTTCTTTTTATCCAGGTCTGTCGGTTCTGATAAGGTAAAGAAAAGTAAAAGATGTTTGAACTGCTAATACGATAAAAAATATGATACATACAAATGTCACAGATGTCCCCTAATGGCTCTGCTGAGCTTCCATGAGAGTTCACAGTGCATAGTGTCCCTATGAGTGAAGGAAAGAGGAACAGGTTTTGGCATGTGAAATGTGGGAAGGTTCTGATGAAAACAGGGAACCGAGTGGGGCTGGACCTACAGCCACTAGGCTGCAGTGTACTGGCACCTGTTTCCTGCATTGCCTGTATGATAGCACGTGGACTCTTTCAGGAGGGACACTTCTTGTGTTTTATCAGAAATCAGTAAGATAAAGTTCTGTGGAAGAAGTGGAGTCCCACGATTGAGTACAGTACTTAGTAGAGAGCTCTTGGTTCTCTGCTACATTCCAGCATTTAGAATCATGTCTAGTACATAACAGGCACTTTAGTAAGCGTGTTGTATAAATGAATGGTTCATGAGTAGTTGGTACTCTCATACTACCAGTGACTAGATTGTTCAGTAATCTGTATTTGGTGAATACTTATATAATTATCTTAGACATCTTGTGTGTGTGTGTGTGTGTGTGTGTGTGTGTATACATGTGTAGGCCAGAGGTTGTCATTGGCTGTCATTCATAAATTTCTCTCCACCTTAGTTTTTGAGACAGGTTCTCTCACTGAACCTGGAGCTCACTGATTCTGCTAGACTGGCTAGCCAGTGCACTCTGGGATCCATCTGTGTCTGCCTCCCAGTGCAGGAATTACAGATGTGTCCTACTGTGTCAGGCTTTTTACGTGGGTGCTGGGGATTCAAAGTTAGGTCCTTATGCTTGCCGTCTCCCCAGTCCTTTTAGACAACTTTGTATTTAGCACAATAATATAAAGTATTTTAATGGCATACTAGTTGCCTCTGACTGTTAAACCCAACAGCATTTACAGCTAGTGCCATACAACTTGGCACACTGCTTTGTTATAGTACAAGGTCAGTTAGAAATTGTTGGACTGAACTGAGTTTATTTCTTTGTTTTCATATTTGCAATTTTCTCTTCCCTAAAACATCCTCTTAGTTTCATCTTGGAATAAGAAAGCAACCATATTACATATACCATGTACTGTACGAAATACAGATTTGAATTGCAGGACAGCAGTCCATAGGAATAGTTTGTAAAACAGCCTCAACTGAGCTACTAATCTATGCCATTTTGTGATGATGCTTAGTATGGCACAACAAGGTCTCCTTATGTAGATGAAAGAGCAAACTGTTACCATTCTTTACTTTTTCCAATTTCTTCAATTGAAACTATCAAACTATTGACATTTCAGGGACCACATATATCCATTGTATTGTATAATAAAAGCTATGTATGTTACTGAAATGACCAAACCCCATTACAGCCAACAGGCCTTCTTTGTCTTAAATTTGCCCAGCAGGCTTATTCCATCCTGTTATAATTAACAGCCTATTATGTAATGATATATAACAAAAGTTTAAGTGTAACAAATGGAGCTTAAGACTAATTACTGTGCTATTACATTACCATTAGTGATGATACTTGTAATTATGTATCAAGAACTGGGGAATATGAATACATTTTCTATGCCCAACTTTCATCTGTGGACTGTACCAGCCTGTCATGACCAGCCCTGAAATGTAAGTCAAATATCTGCGTCTCTGTTATCCGCCAAGTCACGTCAGGCAGTGGCAGAGCCAGAAACATCTACTTATTTGCAATACAGAGAAGGATGTTGGTGACTGTGATTCATTAACAGTGTAATCTTAATTAAATTCTCTGTTATCAACATGTTTGAAGACCCGCTGTTCTGTTTATGAGAACAGCGCATTGGAATGGTCCAGATGTTTGTACATTCCACTCTCCATTAAAATGCTTTTGTATGCCAGATATAGCTTCAAAGCTACAATCTTTGGGTTCCACATCATTTCTGAAGTTTTAGAGGAACCAAGCAGACTTTCTAAGTGACCAAGGTTAGGTGAGGAAGCAACCCAAGACAGACCCAATTTTATGCCCTGGCTACATCTGAATTCTGGTCTAAATGACAACACACAGTTTGTCACATGCTAAGAACCTTTCTGGGGAAGCGCGCTCTTCACTTCTCCCCAAACCCATGCTTACTTTCACAGTCCTCTTGAGAGATGTGGTTGTTGATACTGATGTCATCTACAGCAATCCCACCGAGGTTTCCTCTTCCGATTTCACCCTCAAAAATCACCTGACAAGCAAAATCATTTTCACAGTTTTTTAAAGCTCTGTTCTCAACATCAATATTTATCAAAACTGGCTAGTTGGAAGCTCAGACACTTAGGTTAAACTCGTGTCTAAACATGCCCTTCACTCACCCTTCCTATCAGTTACAGTGCTGACTTAGAACCTCTCCACCCTCATTTTTCACAATACAAACTTTAAAATGGATAAAAAGCTCCAAAATGAAAGGAAGGATATTTGTGACAGACCAGAAATTGGTTAAAATGAAGCATTTCCCTTTCTTCCTACTGTATTCTAAGGGACCATGAGGTATTCTGCAAACATCTCGGAGGCAACAGTCCAGGATCAAGAGGAATTCCACACATTATCCTTGTGTCCTGAAGCCCCTGCCCACCCTCTGTAGAAGGGCTCATACCTGATACAGTTTCAGAGACTTGTGGAGCAAGACACGCCCTTCTTTCCAGTGATCTCCCTGGTGCCCGACCACCATCCAGACCTGCTGATCGTATTCCTCCGGCTTCTGGTAGCGCAGTTTGACCCTTAGGGTGCCGACATGAGAGCCAGACATGTGATACCAGAAGGTCATGCAGTGGGCAGAAGTCTGGGAATAGACCACCGGGCTCACCAGGCGGGCCACTTTGCCTTTCTGATTTTCATCAGCTTGTGAATAGATGAAGTTTCCATCTCCTGCTGAGGCAAAACTCTGGGTCAGGGAGAGACCAACCAAGTCCAGGGTGTTCCTTTGTCTGTCTCCTATCAAGTACAACCCATCACAACCCTCTCCTGGGCTGGGCACCAAGAACCCAAACAGGCAGTACATCAAGCATGATGCAGTTATTAGGAATCCTGTGGGCACTGTCGGCCCTGCTCGAAGTGCCTTTGAGTAACTTTGTCTTGAGACTGTTTACCTGGATCGTGTTATTGCAGGGAGTCAGACTATAACTCATAGTGGCCTTGGTACCACCACAGGTAGGCTGTAAGCACAGCCTGCACCCAGACTTTGGGGAAAGTGTTTGACTTTAAGATGTGGCAGCACACTCATGTGTACCCCAACATCCAATAGATTAACTGAGATTTTGAACCTTGTCCTCTGGACAATACACCTGCTAGATATTTGATGTGGTTTGCTGCTGCAGCTGTGGCTTCCACTGCTGTACTTTTCCCAAATGGCACAGATGTCTTTTTCTATTTATTATTTATTTGTTTATATTGTATGTGTTTGAGTGTTTTGCCTGCATGTACATAAATGCACCATGTGCATGCTAACCCACAGTGGCCAGAAGAGGGTGTCAGATGCCTGGAACTGGAGTTACTGATAGTTGTTAGCTGCTATGTGGGTGCTGGTAGCCTGCTCGAACAGCAGGTGCTCTTAACTGCCTAGTCATTTCTCTACTTTCCTCCCCCTTTTACTGAGGCAGAATCTCATTATGCAGCTCTGATTGGCCTGGAATTCCCTATGTAGACCAAGCTGGCCTCAAACTCACAGAGATCTGCCTGCTTCTACCTTCCAAGAGCTGGAACTAAAGGCATATGCCACCACACCCTAGCCCTGACATCTTTTTAAGAATGTTTGTATGTTTATGTGTGTTCTTGTGTATGCAAGAACAAGTGCATGTGTGTGGAGGTGCACAACCTCAGGCATCCTTTCTCAGGCACCATTCACCTTGCTTTTTGAAGTGGGGGGGTCTCACTGGCTGGCAACTTGCCAAGTAGGATAGGCCAGCAAGCTCCAGGGGGATTACAAATGTGTGCCATGAGGAGGCCTGGCTTTTTCTACATGGATTCCAGGGATTCAGGTCCTTGTGTTTACAAGGCAAGCACTTTGCTGACTGAGCCAGATTCCTAGTCCCTAAACATCCTCCTGAAAAAGAATCTGCTTGCTTTCCTTCAGCTCATGTTAACAGTCTATGGATTTTTTCAAGCATGCCCAGGAGTTTGATTCTCACCTGTGTGCTCTGCTTCTATGTGCTGCACTTCTGGCTCAAGGAGAAGCAAGTTTGCATTTTTGAGGCTCATTAGAACACGCCGTTTTGGCAACAGCGATGCCTACGGAGCCACAAGGACTTATTGTTGGCTTTGCTTTTAATCACCCCCAATGGGAACATTTGCTCTTGCTTCCACCTGGTATAAACACAACTCCTATGCCACCATTTGCTTTGCAAATAGGAATCACAGACTCCCACGCCTTACCTGATGTAACAGGGAATGTAATGTGATGCTTGGGCCTCAGTGGGTGCTTTGCTGGCCCACAGGCTTGTACACACTGTGCACATGTGGGGATGTCCTCCTATCTGGTTTCAGCAGTGTCTTAGATGGAAGTGTGTCAGTGGGCATCTTTCTTTCCTTACTGGGCCACTGACCTGAGATCTGGTGGATGCACTTATTAAAGTCAATGAGTGGATCTGTAAGGAAGGGTGGACACAGTGCAGAATACTACTCCAGAGGAGTGTGAAACACTCCAGGACATCACTCTCTACTCTTGTGTATTGTTCCCTGGTCCCTGCCCACTCTGATACTCCTGGGTTTCTGTTGTCCTACTGATTTGTCAAGCCCTGGCCACCTGTCTGTATGACAGTGCCATTGCACTGATGAGTGGCAGGTCATTCCACCAGGATGCACAGGGAAAAACACACCTGTCCTGTGCCTTCCCCCTGATCCTTTGGGAAAAGACCACAGTGAGCAATGTCACAGAGAGGAGACACAGTTACTGAGCTCACACTTTTGCCACCAATCTAACCAATTCACGTCTCATTTCAACCACACTTGAAACCTGAGAAAGCAAATCTAACATAGCCAGTCTCTCAGAGAACCTCTTCCTCTGACTCCTGATTTGTCTTTGTGTGTGTGTGTGTGTGTGTGTGTGTGTGTGTGTGTATGTGGAGGCTAGAAACAGATGTTGGGTGTCATTCCTCAATTGCTTCTCCACCTTGTTTTTTGAGACAGGATCTCTCAGTGAACCTGGAGTTCCTTGATTGGCTACATTAGCCAAGTCCTCAGTAGGCTATCTTTAACCCTTACTCCTTGTGTCTGTCACTAAATACCCTGGCAGCTGCACTGTGATGGTTTCCACCCACAACTAGATTGCCAGTCCCTTTCCCTTTGTACAATCAGAAATCCATGTTCAAGCCCCTTGGACAAAATGATGCCGTACAATGTACCCTCCATGTTGGTGAGTAATCAACTTCAGATAAAAAACATTCCAAATCACACTCGCACTGAACAAGTACAGGTTCCCCTCCCCCCATTAAAAAATACAGTATAAGGACCATTCATATAACGTTTGCCCATTATATATTTTAAATAATATGGAGCTCCTAAATCTTGAGGCAATGTGGGTATCAGTAAGTTTTATACAAATACTGTGGCATTTTATCTAAGACAGAAATGGAAAACCGGTTGCACCTGTATTTTCAGTGCTGAGTACAGTACCTGCTGTGTAAAAGAGCTGCTCAAGCAACATTTGTTCAGCGAACAAGGGAGAACAGTGAGATCTCGGGAATCTTTCATAAGGAGGTACACAATGGTTTCATTCTTACAGGTCAAATATACAAAATCAAGTGAGATTCACTTGCATTCACAATTGGGTATTTTAACAAAATAGTAATAATTTTAAAAATCCCCCAATGTCTAATTTTCAAAGTTCCAAATATGATTATTATGATGTCTTTGAGAAGGGTTTTCACTATGCAGCCTGGGCTGGCCTTGAACTTGTGGTCTGTCTGCCTCAGCCTCCTGAGTGCTGGGATTCTAGGTGAGCACCTCAATGCTTGACTTCCAAGTAATATTATTAAAAACTGAAGGGCTGGGGAGGTAGCACAGTTGGTAGTATGCACGGAGGAACCCTGGGTTCAATCCCCAGGACCACTGTGTGGTGGTGCACGCCTGTAATCCCATCACTTTGGAGGTGGAGACAGAAGGATCAGAAGTTCAAGGCCATCTTTGGCTACAGAGTGGGAATTTAAGGCCAGCTTGGGCTGTATGAGAGCTGGCAAGTTAGGGGCCATTCATCTAGATTGTTCCTTGTTAACAAGTTCCTGCCTTTCTCAGGTGTGCCCACCTCTCTTAGAAGATCCCATTTCTCATGCAGCGGCAGGCTGAGAGAACAAAGGAGCCACGTGCTTTGAGGGAATCTCACTTCTCTGCTGTGAATCTAAGACAAGTCACCCTTTTCTGATACTCCGAAAGTACGGATGTTTCCCCCTTTCAGTGGGTTTATCACGTTCTGGGTCGGGAACTGTGTCTTCTTTTTCTCAATTAGCACTCAACTTCTGCCAGCCTTTTAGCTTTTGTCTCTGGCTAACACAGCTTTTAACCCCCTTTGAGTGTCAGGTCCTACTGAGCCATTTCAATTCACTTTGCATCCAATTTCCCACCATTACTGCCTTCATCCCAGCTAATTGCATTTAGTTAATTTGATGCCATTTATGTGTACGGTGCCATTCACAGTCAAAGTATTTTAAGTTTTCTAAAACTGCTTGTCTTAAGATTCAATGGAAAGTGTCTCAGAATTGAAGGGGTCCAATTTTATCCAATTTCCTTGTCATTGTCATTAGGAAAGAGGTAGCGGTGGCAGGCAGAGGCCTATTCAGCCTGTTTTGTTGCTGTGTTCACTGAGAAAGAAGTGAGCCAGCAGATGAGAGGGACGTGTGGGCCTTTTGTCCAGCCAGCCCACATGCCAGCCATCCCAGTGCTGGAATGGGATAATTTAATGGGGTCCCTCATCGCCCCAAATACTCCACTAGAGGGTCTTGACAAGCCACTAGTGAATAAAGTTCAAGTTGGGCAGGTGTGTGTTGCAAGTATATCTGTGAAAAATCAGTGTGTGTGTGTGTGTGTGTGTGTGTGTGTGTGTGTGTGTACTGCTGGTTCTATATAAGGACCTCAGGTGGGGTAAAGAAACCAAGATGGTTGTGAGCAGGGGCTCACCGGATCAGCTGTCTGGTTCATTTTTCTCCCAGCACTTCTTCATAGGAAGAAAACAAGGCAGCAGGTGGGGCAGATTGAGAGCCAGAGTAAAGTGATCAGAGAAAATGGGCCAGCCTGAGAGACATCTCCTGAAAAAGAATGCGTCTCACCCATATTGTTCCCCCTTTGCTTCAGAAGAACAAGCCCTGGGATGACAAATGTGCCCTTAGGGACAGGTAAGCAAGCAGCATAACATTTCTGGACATGTATTAATGCAGATTCTGGGTGCAGAGAGCATTGACAAGGCAGGCTTATGTGCAGAGAGTCAGCTGAACTATTTTTTAGAGACAGGGCCTCATGTAGCCCAGGATGTCTTTGAATGCCATATGTAGCCAAGATGATCTTGAACTTCTGATTCTCCTGGTTCTGCCTCCAGAGTGCTGGGATTATAAGCATGTGTCACCATGCCTGGTTTGCTACTATTTCTTTTCTACTTCTTAAAACAGTTAAAATTGTCCTAAGTAAAAGTTCAGAAATAGTTAAAAATGAGCTTGAGTTCACTGAATATATTTAAAATTGGCCTTGATAAAAGTGAGCATGGATTTCCCACTCTTGCTGTTTTTGAAGGAGGCCCATCAGTGGCCAGACTCAATCAACATTCCCAGTCTTGCCCCAAGCTTCTCTCCAGCAAGGAAAGAGTCTTTGAGATTCCAGAAAACAAAATGATGAGTGAATGCTTCCAATATTTCTTTTTATCACCCATAAACCTACAAGAGCCAAGAACTTTCCCTGGTACCCGCAGTCTCGACCAGCACAGGGCCACAGTGGTACCCTTACCTGTATGGTCCTGAATGGGTCCCGTCTTGCTCGTCAGCACACTCCACTTGAGCTGTGCATGGTTGTCATGTTCCCAGTGGCAGAACGTCTTATGAGAGCCCCAACCAAACTCACAGTTGAAACCGTAAGTGGGAAACTCTTCAGCGGGTAAGAAAGGAAAACAGAGACATGACAAGAAAGACAAATTTAGTCACCATGGTCAGGAAGGCCTTTAAATTTATCCCAGTTCAAGACCAGCCTGGTCTACATAGTGAGTTCCAGGACAGCTGGGGCTACAGGGAGACTCTGTCTCAAAAAGGCCAAAAAAAAAAGAAAACAAAAAGAAAAAAGAGTGCATACTGGTTGTGGTTTTTATAACTTTACATCTATTCAAAAGTTCTGGGAAATCCACAAAATCTAGGATTACCAAGAAACCAACTGATACACAGACAAGTCAAAATGTTTGCAAAGTTACATTTAGTATTATAGTTTTATTTTTCTTGTGTCCAGCTTTAAAAAGATTATGGACTGCCTGTCAGATTGGGTTTATGTGAGATTTCCAGGAAGGCTACTTTCCAAGGCACATCTGCAACACTTTCTCTATTTGCACAATATTTAATAGGAAAGATACTCTGTTACTGAAGATGAATCATATAAATTGATATCCATCAATGAAAAGAATCTTATTAGAAATTGACTGTGAGCCTCTAAATCTCTGGGATGTGCCTTGGCAGGAAGCCTGGCCTTCTGAGTCTCTAACCCCTCTCACTGCACCAGCTGACAGCCAGGCCCCTGTCAGGGAGGAATGGCTGAGGCATTTTTCTGAGATTATTTCTTTCTTCTATGCTTTCCATCAGGTCAATTAATTTCAGAATAAGTCTGCTTTCTTTCTTTTTTTAGTGAATTTCTAAATTTGCATATAAATTGTTCGCTCCACTTAAAACCTCAATGCAAGGTCATATAAAGCCAAAACTCATTTAAGCAGCCCCCCTTAAAATTTTTTTTTAATCTTCCAAATGCTTCCTTGGGATGATGAAAGAAAGCGTCTGACCTTGTGCTCCTCACACCCTAAAGCTTTTCTTTTACTCAACCCCATTTTTGAAAGGAGCTTGACTTTTGAAGTATGCAAAGATGAAATCTGTGAGGATTTTGTTTGGGGAAGGGTAAGCAAAGGCTAAAAACAACTCCAAAGATGAGGCCATTGTGCTTTCTCTGGTGCCTCCTTCCCCACACAGAATGGAGCACCACGAGGCAGCCCGTCCTTACTGGCCACCAGGCCCCTGCGTTCAGGAATCCACAAGATGGCAGCATTGAGTCGGACAGAACAGCATCAGGGGCGTCTGCCCAATTGAAGTGGGGCCTCAAAGACTTGCTGTGCACAATAAGGGAAGCAGGCTATTATGGGCCGCCTTAGGGTCAGGAGGAGACCCCCCATCTCTTTTTGAGCTTTCCTTTAACTTGCCCAAGTGCTTAACACAAAGTCCCTAGCTTGCCCACATCCACTGCCCCTCCTCCACCGAACAATGGAGGGAAGGATTTTAATGGGAAGATTTATTGAATGGATAAGGATGATTTATCCATTTCTTGGTTTCCAAGGAATTCTTTTCAAATGCTAATGTCAGATTTTGGAAGGAACGCATCCTATGAATAGTCAGAACTAAGCGGTATGGAATTCCCGCAAAAGAGAAGTAGACCACACGATGTGCACATGCCCTACTAGAGCGAAGGGGCCGCGTGAGTGTCCAAGGAGAGGGGTAGCTCATGCGCAGGCTACTGAACCAGGAAGTGCAACTTCTTAAGGCAGGAAGATCTCTTTCCCAAAGTTACCACCTTTTGGGGCAGCAAAACTGAATTCTGCGGGTGGCATGGTCTAAGAAGCAGGGACTAAAGACTGAGGAACCTTAGGGTCAACCATGCACTATTGTGTAATCTCATGGTAGAAACTATTAATACTGGAATATATGAAAGTGTGAGGTTTGGGCTTTTATCCTTAGTGTGCTTTGTAAGACATACAAGAGGGCAGAAAGCCATCAGAACACACATAGCTTTGGCTTCACTTGCCTTGCTAACACATAACATTTACCCTATGGTCCAGAAAGCCACACTCTCCATTATGTTGGCTAGTCACAATCTGAAGACACCATAAAGTATATAAACTTGAAGTTTTAGTGATGATCAAGACATGGAGAAAAGATCTTCCTTGCATTTCTCCTACCCTCAGTGAATGGCAACCACCTTTATCTTTTAGTGGCCTGACCAACCCTGTGAATTTAACTAGAGGATCTGCTCTTACATTGTATTGGATCTACATTGCTTCCTTGTCTTGTTCATATAACTTATGGCTATCTTGTCCATTTAAAAGAAACTTAAATCCATGCATTTGGGGAGAGGGGTAAGGGGATGATGATGTGTGTAGCTCGGTGCTGACAAATAAAGCCTGGATAGAAAGGTATTTTACATTCAAAATACAGACAGACATGTAGAAAGTGAAAGACAGTGAGAGGAGCAGGAAAGGAGAAGAGAGGAAAAAAAGAGAGAGGAGGAAGAAAAAGGCACATAAATGTACAGGACCAGTGACCTTTATGTTTTCAAATTCTTACCAAGCCCCTGGAGTTCTGCACAGTTCTTATTAAATTCAATGGGAAAAATTGGACTGAATCCATCCTTAAAAATAGCAGGAAACAATATTCTGAACTTCAAACAAATTTATGGCCTCTGTGAGCAAGTGCCATTTGCACTGCCCAAACCATCTTGCCTGGAACTGAGTCACTGGCACTCTATGCGAGCAAGGACTTAATTTTCAAATCTTGTATTCATGACTCCTATTGAGTACGTCCACTACATGCTCATCGGCTACTCTCAAAGTCCAAGCAAAATGGAGGTGCAGAGGCCCACGAAAGCACAACTCACCAACACTGTGAGCTGCAGCAGGGATGTGGGAAGATGCAAGAGGGTTAAAGTTCTCTGCAGTGAGGGCTGCCTTAAATACAGGGGTCTTGGCGCTTTCCATCCAAGCATCCATAGGCCCCTGATGGCAATGCAGACAGTATAAATATTCTGTCCCTGTTGAGTTTATTATATTGATGACAATCCTCAAAATGAACTGTGTGTGAGTGTGTATATGTGTGTAAGACAGTGTGTGTGTGTGTGTATATGTGTGTGTGTGTTCATGCATGTGTGTGCATGCGTGTGTGGAGGCCAGAGGTCAATCTTAGGTGTTATTCCTCAGGCACTATCTGTATTATTTTTTGAGACAAGATCTCTCACTAGGGTCTGAAACTTGCCAAGTAGACTAGTCTGGTTGCCAGTGAGTCCCAGGGATCCCCCGCAGGCATGTTCTACCATATCCAGCTTTCTGTGTGAGCTCTGGGGATTGAACTCAAGTTTTTGTGCTTGTACAAAAAGCATTTACTGACTGAGCCATCTTCCCAGTCCCTCAAAACAAAACCTTAAGTTTCTGCTTAGTCTAGAACAGCCCTAGGAAAATAGCATTCAGATGAAGACTGGGGGTCTGTCTGTCTGTTCCTACCTATGAAGAATGGAAAGACTGCAGAAGCGAGTATATGGAAGTTTTCATGAGGTGAACCTGACTGTGGGCTAGACCTTTGGGAGCATGCTCAGGCCTTGTGTTGCCTATTGCAGTGACTTAACCAGAAGGTTACAGTAAAGAGACCTCTTCCAAAGGAGGTCATACAGCCCACAGCCCTCCAACAAAGAGGTGGAGATCAGATACATAATTTAGACAATGGAATAAGCAGGAAACCACATGTACAGAGACCACTCCTATTGGTCAGCCATGCCGTTTGAACCAGTCTTGTCTAGATGGTAGTAGCAATAGGTCTTGCTGGTTCATGCTTTGTACACCTGCCCTCTGGCCTTGGAAGGCCCTGTGAGAGGGTTGACTGGGCCCTATCTCTAAGGCCTTCACAAGAATGACCTGAAGATCCTGTAGGATGCAAATGTGTCTTGCTGTGGCCACCTTGACCTTGGACACTGGGGTAGACTTTCAGGTTCGGAATCTGATACCACTTTCTGCCTTCTCCACAGCTATTGTTCCCTTTCACTGTTTGCAAAGATCCCTATGCCCTTCTAATAGGCAAGAAGAGAGAGAGGTAGATGAAGCAAGTGAGCTAACCACTTTAGAGTGTCTCTTAATCACCTCTGCAGGAGAAGAAAAGAAACTAATACAGCAGTTAAAATGTGCAATGTGTCTCCAGAATGTCATTCATTCACCTTGCCCTCTTTCTGATCCTACAGGCCAGAGAGCCAACTGCAGCTGTGGTCCTTGTCCCGGAGAAGACTCCCAGGACACATAGACCAGGGCCTTCCTCCTATAATATCGTGGCAGAAGTGAAGATAGTTCCAGAAGACACATGTGTTCTTCCCTTTGGTTGGCTAGGACTATTGAAAAAACTATTGAAATTCTGGAATTTCCCCAGGAATCTCATACTGGGAGAAGGAAAGGGCTGAAGCCTGGGCCAGCAGGAGGAGGGACATGTCTCCAGGAAGAGTGTTCACACAGGTCTGACTGCATATCCTCTGTTTAAACCTAAATCTCCTGTCAGCTCTCAGATGGAGCCGAGAGTCACCGGACCTCTGTTCCCTTCCCATCATGTCCATGTTTCAGGACTCTCCTATTTCTGCCTTTTGTTATTACTTGCTTGTTTAATCAGCCTATTGAAAGTGGGTGGTCAAGCCTAGCTTGTCAGGGCTTCAGGATCCAGGCTCTGACCCTAACAACTACCATAGTACCCCGGGGTCAACCTGAGGTGGCTACACAGCTCCCAGGCCACTTTATAATCTGGAAAGGTATATGTAGGAATATAGCATTTTGGGGACTTAGGTGACAATCTTTGTTTCTCTGTCTGGTGTTTGAGGCTATTGGGCTATGTGGCAGCAAATATTTTGTCAACCTGAGCTCAGGGAAATGGGAAGAAAGTTTCATGGAAGAAGTTTGCCTTGCAGCTTAATCAGGTCAATGGTGACAGTGACCTTTAAGGAAGCATGCTAATTAGGGCTATGCTTTCTGGTCTGCCTCTTTGAGACAGTCAGTGTGGAGGAAACATTGATATATACCACATAGCCCCATGAATAAATGGCTGTGGAGGCCAGGGCCTAGTGAGCTTCAATAAAGGTAATGGAAGAATCTGGAAAGCTGACCCTCTCACCTTCTTCTAATGATTAACTCTAAAGTATTTAAAACCTCAAATTGCTCACTCACTTCTTTCCTTCATGTGCCCATGGGGAAGAATGTCGTGGAATACTAACGGAAAAAAAGAAGGCAGCCTCTGATTAACAGCTGCGGGTGCTGAGTCCATAGGTTTTCCTGTGGGCAAGACGATGGGGGGGGGGCTACTTCCAGGGTGTTCCTGTGCCCAGGCCCAGTGTAAACCTTGGTTTCCTGAGCCCCTCTGATGGCACACCCACTGTGAATGCTGCTGTAAAACTGCCAACTCCGTGCAGGCGCAACAGACAAACTTTGCGCCTGCCTCTCAGTTTCGTTTGAAGGATGGTGATGAAAATAAATAGTCAGCCTGTGGCTTGTGAGATTTCCTTCTTCTAGTTTGCAAACATAGTCCGAGTTGGAGCTGTGCTGCATTTAAACACAATATGTCTCTCAGTTCCCTAGGGGGGAGGGGGTGGAGCTGGGATTTGTCATTCAGCAGTGACTGACAGAGAAGGGAACCCCTGCTCACTGCTGCAGACACTGGATCAAAGGCATGTGGCAATCAAGGTTCTCCCTGAGACCCAATTCATGGTGAATCTCTCCTAGGCCTATGTGGCAACTGAAGCCAGAATGCTAAGTGATGCTGTTTGCGGGAGGATTGGGGGCACACACAGAATCTATGACACCTTAGATTTCATCTGCTACCTGTGATGGTTTGAATGAGATGTCCCCGACAGGCTCCAAGTATTAGAACATGTTGTTCCCAGTTGGTGGTGCTGTTTTGGGAGGTCATGGAACCTTAAGAGGTGTGGCCTTGCTGGAGGAAACAGGTCACTGGAGACCGGCTTTGAGAGTTCATTAGCCTCGTCCCACTTTGAGTTTTGCTCTCTCTGCTTCCTGTACTGCTTAAAGATGTGAGCACTCAGCTTTCTGCTTCAGCCTGTTACCATGCCTTCCTGACATGATGGACTCTTATCTCTTTGCAATTGCAAACCCAAAAATTTTTTCCTTGTATAAGTTGCCTTGGTCATGGTGTTTTGTCACAGCAACAGAAAAGTAACTAATGTACTTACCTGATTGGATGGTGCTGTCTATCATGGTCGGCTTCTCTGTGGCCAGTACAGTAGTGCCTCCTGAAAAACAAGGGCAGTAGCAAACTTAAGTAAGAAAAAGGAAGGTAGCCTGCTGTCATGTTGCATGCTAACATATCCACAGAAACCATCATTCCCCATGGAAAAGTCTTCCTTTAGTTCCTGCCAGGATCACTATCTCACTGTCTACCACAGCATCTAATTCAAGTAGCAGTACTTTTTGTTTTATTTTAAATCATTTATGCATGCACATGTATGTGTGTGCATATTTATATGTGCAAGTACACATGCATGTGTGTGGGTACAAGTGTATGTGGATACCAGAGACAACCTGAGGTGTCAGCCTCAGAAATGTCATCTACTTCTTTTGAAACAGGGTCTCTCATTGGCCTAAACTCTCCAAGTAGGCTAGGCTGGCTGGCAAGTGAGCCCAGTGAATCTCAGTCTCCTGTCTCTGCCTTCCCAGCACTGGGACTGCAAGCTCTCACCATCATGTCTGGCTTTTTTATGTGAATTCTGGGGATGGAACAAGCCTGGGGTTCTCAGACTTGTGAGGCAAGCACTTTACCAACTGAGCCATCTCCTCAGCTCTAACAGCATTACTTTTACTTCACATAGTTGTCTTTTAAACTTAAAAAAAAAAATCAATGAACACTGTCTCTATCTATGGTGTACAATATAACAACAACAACACACACACACACTAAAGAATAGCTAAATTGCGTTAATTAGCAAATCTATTGCCCTTCATTTTATTTATTTTTTATTTTTTGGTGATGAGAACATGTACAATCTCTTACAGCAATTTTTAGGTATGCCATGTATCCCAGCACATTTCTTTATAAAGTATATATAAGGCATGGAGAGCCTGGGACTTTGTTCCAAGGCGTTCACAGATTCTCAGGCTAAATGCAGCATTCGCTTGCTATAGTGAAAGGTGAGGGCCACCAAAGTCCTCAGTGACTTGGGTTAAACTTGACCTTCACCTCGGAGCTTCAGAGAGTTTCTGAGGTTTCAGATGTGGGCCTTCAGGGAAGTTGCAAGGCCAGTTTCCACGTGATAGTTTTAAAACTGAAGGTTTAAAGTGGATGGTAGTGATTCCTCCGTTCTCTATTTTCCCCTCGAGTAGACATTTATTTTTCCCAAGAAAAAGTATTTCGCTCAATATGTTGTTTGGGAAAGTGGTGGAAGGCAGTGTGAAAGGGGATGGGGATGAGCACTTCTTTCTGGTTCCAAGGAACTTGAAGATTGAGCGAATAACCGTGAATGCTGCCAGCTCTCAGTCAATCCGGGACTTCTTTGAAGACTTAACTTTGTCTTCTCTTCTGCATGACCACTCTGCCATCATCACTTACCATCACTGTAGGCTGTTCTGAGCAGCGTTTTTCCTGTGTGTGTATACACATGCCTGGGTGTATGTGTGCTCTTGCCTGTGGGTGCATATGCATGTGAGGATGCTGTGAATGTGTGTGCTCCTGTGTATGGAAGCCAGAGGTCAACCTCCAGTGTCATTCCTTAGGAGCTGTCTACCTCGCTCTTTTGGGACAAGGTCTGTCACTGGGGCCTGGGGCTTATTGACTAGGCTAGGCTGACTAACTACAAACCTAAGGATCCTCCTGTCTCCTAGTTCTCAGTACTGAGATTACAAATATGTACCACCATGCATTTCTTTTTACTTGGATCCTGGGGATTTGAACTCAGGTCCTTCTGCTTGTATAGTAAGCACTTTGCCTACTAAGTTCTCTCTCTAGCTCCAGTTGATTTTTATCTAAAAGTAGAAGTACTGGCCAATTTAGGGTAGGGTCAGGGTTGGACTGAGACTTATCGTGGGATGTTCTGCACATGGCTCTGAGGTGCAGCAGTTGTGCTCTGCCCAACAGCCCATGCCTATGGATTTGTGATAATCTTTACCCAGGTCTGTCTTTCCCTACACTTCCACACACCAGAAATCACCTTACATGTTCCCATCATGAATCAGAGAGCTGTAACATTGTACTTTTGGAATGGTCTAGAGATTTCTGAGCTAACTCTCTGCAGCAGCACGTCCCACTTCCTGAGTGAAAGTGCTGGAGGAGGGTCACAGGTATGTGGCCTCAATAAGGTAGGCAATGGAAAGAAGAGATTATGCACACAGGGTTAAGAAGGTGAATCTACAATGGGAGGATTGGAGGGAAGCCAGAATACATTAGCATCCCATCCCCAGTGGTCTTAGAAGAGACAGATTCAAGGTGAACACTCACTTTCATATCCGCTATACATTATCAGTTTTGTTACAGGTTGGGAGCTGAATTCCACTGTTGAGTACAGGTGACTCAAAGTGAAATTCAGGCTTATGCCACCTTTCAAAGACATCTGCAAGTAAATAACTTCAGGGGTGAATTTCCAGCTTGGCAAGGAAGCACAGGGACACCAAATTTCCCATTCCCACTACAGGGCACTGTTTCTGGGAGTCAGTTTCTGATGGAGCATTTGTCCCCCTCTATATGCAAACATGTCATCCAGGAGAGGAACTAAAACAGACTCTGAAAGTACTGAGGGAATAAGCTCTGTCCAAGAGAGAGCATCGAGCTGGCTTGAGGTTCTCAGTTATCAGGGTTCAAATGTGAAAACTCCTGCTGGTCTTATGACACTAAACACCCAAAGTTTAGAGCACTGGCCATAAAGCCTGCTACCATTAGCCAAAAGGGTAAGAGGGGCCTGTAGGAAGTCACTTGGGTTAGGTGTGAGCTCAGGGGCATGTATTTTAAATGTAAAAGTTTCTTGGGTCAGGTGTGGGCTCAGGAGGTGTACATTTTGCAGGTAAAAAGATGCTTGGGTTAGGTGAGGTTAGATAGGGTACTGGCCCCATGCAAACAATTTCACATGAGCACCACCTTTTCCAGAAAAAACCTTTACAGTTTTTTTGTTTTTTTTTTTTTTTTTTAAGAAAAATTGACCTTAATATAATCAATGGAAACAAAGAAGACTGAGAATGTCTTAAGATCATGTGCTTTTGGTGGGGTGACCGTCTTACTATTGTGTGTAGATTTTTAAAATTGTTGAGACAGACATATCAGTCTGAGAAAATAAGTTTTCTTCTTTGTCATGGTAACCCTAAAAAAAATTAAGAAGGAATTTTTTTTTCTATACTTGAAAAACAATTTCAAGCACTGTAGGTAAAGCAAAACCTTGTCCTCGTCAAGGGCTGTCACTGTTTCCACTCTGAATGACACATTTTCTGGGGTTTGTGGCTGGTCTCAAATGCGGTTTGCTCCAGGCTAACAGACTTGCCTTATTCATTCAAAGCCTTCAGTTTGAGTTGATTCAGTCATGAACTGATGTAAAAATGAGAAGGCTGTTTGTTCTGATATGCAGAGTAAATCCGAGCCTTTGTTTCTAATCAATATTAACTGACCACTCTAGAGTTTATAAGGAAAAGAGCCCTCCACAGAGGGCAATTGAAAAATGTGTGCTGTGATACTGAAATTCCTCCTTTTGATGAAGAATGTCACTGCGGATGTGTTGGGGCCCAGAAACCCTGAGGCTTGGGGTGGCCTCCTTACTCTGGGAAGGCTGTATAGGGTCTGGCTCTGGAAATGGGCCTCTGTTTTCTACATCAGCTGCAGAACTTACCATTTGTCATCTAGATGCATCTAGAATATGCATCTGCATTAATCAGAGTAACTCTTTTATGGCTTGTAGCTGATTATCTATAAGATTTGCATGGACTGCTCATAGCGATGAGATCTTTATTGTTCTAAGTGATTGTCTTGGAAACTCAGGGAGACAGCTTCAAGGCATGGGATTAAAACGTAAATCTAAGTCACAGTATTAAATTTCTGGGCAGATTATTTTTAACCCTATATTTCATCTAGGAGCACAGAGCTCTTTCCCTCTCACAAAGGCGAGATTATGAAGTAATTGGAAATGGACAGAAACACGGTCCCTAGATTTTTGCTCTAACGGGTTAGCAAACAGTATTAGTGCATTAGGAAATTACATGATAACACCTTCAATTTTGCCCTTGGAAATTAGTTTTGGGGGCTCTGGGTCAATGGGCTAGGGAAGATAGCTCAGTAAAGTGCTTACAGCACAAATCTGAGTTTGATCCCCAGCACCCAATGTTAAAAGTTAGGCATACTCAGCTGGAAAGGGAGACCTGAAATGGAAGAGCACCTGGATAGAAAGAAGAGGAAACAGGAGTGACAGGCCCCTACCCCACTAGCCACCTACCAGGGAGGAGTAACAGGCCCCCATCTCACTAGCCACCTGCCAAGGGGCCTAGACACCCAGTGCAAGACAGGCCTTCACAGGCATCTGTCCTGGAATATCAATCACCCCCTGCTCATGGACAGGACAACAGCCCAATCTACTTTCCATTCCCTGGCCTCCACTAGCTGGGCATCTTGTCCACTGATGACCAGACCTTGTCTTCTGACAGTGCCAGTTTTTCTCTCTTTGACTCCTCAAGGTATCCATCGTATCCATCTTGTGTGTTCCTGATAGGCGGCAGACTACTTCAGCTGACCGGGGCAAGGCCCAATCTTCTCCACCTGCCACTCTGTGTCCACTACCTCCAAACACAACTGCCCAAAGAGTGTGTTCTAAGATGGACATCAGGCCATCAGCACTCAAACCAACCCCAGCCATCACAGCTGAGCAGGCCTCCACAGGCTGCCTGCACCACACATCACAGGTGCTCTCCTGCCCAGCTGTCTGCTTAGACGTTGGTGTTCTCCAAGCAGGGCTGTGCGTCAGGGCCCAGCACAATTCTGAAGACTCTAACACAAGTATGTTACTTGTAGGCTCCACGCATGTGTGCTAAACTGCCTTGACCTAGGAGTAGTGTGGTCCCTGGGGAGAGTCAGAGTAGAGCAAAAGTCTCCACAGCCTGTGAATGCCCTATCTGATTTAAATACAGCGCATTTACACACCTGTACCCTCAGTACTTGGCGCCAGTCAAGTGGCACTCTAGAACTTGATAATCAGCCAGCCTAGCAGAATTGGGGAGCTCCAGGCTCAGTGAGAGAGCCTGTCTCAAAGAATATGGTGGAGAACAATTGAGGAAGACAGCTAGTGTTGACCTTTGACCTCCACAAGCATGCACATGTGCACACACACACAAACACATACATACCCAAAATAGAATAAATGTTAGATGGGAGAAGGGACTGCATTTTTTGGCCCCAGGTAATAGTAAAGGTCCCTTAATACTTTTTGCAAAAATAGACTGTGAATCGTGGTGACTTGGTCAATTTCCAAATGGGCAATCCCATTTTCCTATTTGCTTAATTTCCCCTGCCACTCCAAGGGGTAGAAAAGGCCATTTTACAGCTTTTGAGATTTTGGGTGGTGTGGGAGTAATACCAGAGGAACTGCGAGGCCCGGGCACACTCCAGTCGTATCCTGCTAGCTGGTGGTGATGTGAAATCACAGCTAATTCTGCCTGAGTAAATTCCAATATAAAATGATTTACAAAATCCCTACTAAAAAACCTCATTGAAAATAGAAGCCTAATTTAATCAATTTGTTGGATAAAGTCTCCACTCAAACAATTTTGTGCTCATTAGGAAAGGAAAGTGAATGCTTTAAAGTGTGTGGTTGGGAATGTGTGGCTCATGTGTTGCAGTGAGGAGGTGGGGAGGGGGCTGTCTAAAGACGAGTTTAGCATACTCAGCTCTGGAGAAATTCTAGTTCCATGAGAATAATCCTAGCCTTTGACTCGGACATGGTCATGGCTACTAGGAGTAATTTGTGTATTTGGGTGGCACAAGGTAATGGAGATGCATGTGGGATGACAAGCTCTGTTCCCAGGTGGCCCTGTCAGCACCCGGACACCTACCACCACGAATGACAAGCACACACAGAGAGGACGAGAACATGGACTGACAGGGCACAGCGATGGGATGAGGGTGGGCTCTGCACCTGTGAGCTGGAAGTCATCACCTGTGCCACTGTGACAGTTGGCCTGGTCGTCGTCACACTCGTCCACCAGGTTCCCATTGGGTGTAGTCGGTCCAGTGGTAGGCGCTGAAATGAGATCCAAGAGTTACTATCTCCAACTTCCTGAAAGCTGTTGGATTTGCTAATACTTCTGCAGCAAACTCAAGTGTGCTGTATGCAGAGGAGGGGCGCTGCCTGTCTCAGGAAGCTAAACACTTAAATTTTACAGAAAGCATGTGAGACTGGCTGGGGTGTTTGATCTCTATCTGCTGAGTGGCTTTGGCTGCAGGGTACACATTGTTATCTACATAAACATCCCTTTTTTTGAAAACCTCTTTGTTCATGGCTCTGAGTTGAGAACTTCTATGATAGAGATTTGCCTGGACTGTGTTTCATTTCCAAGGTGCTAAGAAGTCACGCCCATGAATTCTTTTGTATTCTCAGTATTGACTGGTTTCCTGAGTTTATATTATTGATTTTTTTCTCCCAAAGGGAGCATTGGCAATCACTTTTGACACCACATTGTTCTTTGATCCAGAGTAACTCTCTAAGCAGCTCTCCACCTGGGGCCTTCTCTCCAGGGCAGGTGTGAGCTGTGCTGTCTCACATGGCAGAGGTCAGCTTACCTGGCCTCCTGGGGGATCGCATTCCGCTGCCAGCCTCCCATATCTTTGAGTTTAGAGTTGAAAAGGAGCCAACATTAATCAAAGACTGCTTTTGAAGTCCTTCAACTTTAGTTCAGTCTATTTTTTTCAGCCTGTTACTCATTTTTGCAATCTGTTTAATATTTTACAGTTTTCGGCATTGCATTTCACATTACAGACAAGAGATAAGGGTCAATTCTCTTGATGGGAGGAAACCATATGAATTGCTAGGTGCTGGGAGGGTGGGGTGGGGGAGGGGCTCTTGTATAACCTGCCCAGGAGGAATGTGCCAGTCGCCGTGGCGTTTCTTGGTAAGAAGTTGACACTGTCTGTTACTGTGCTTAGGGATGGACAGGTTAAGACCAATGTAGAAACAGCTGAACTTCAACTGACCCAACACACACATCAAGAATAACTAGGAAATTACCACGCACAGATGATACACATACCTGTCATCCAGAGTTTGTGAAAAACACATCCCACACACACCTGTGCACACCCCTGTCCCCCTGGATCAGCAGAACCCACTGGCTGTCCACATAACCCTTGATAATGTGCTATTTTTTTGAAATATTTTATTTATTATTTTTATGTGTGCGCATGTGTTGCCTGCATATAGATAAGGGCACCCGTGTCATGTAATGCCTGTGGAGGACAGAAGAGGCTGTCGGATTCCCTGGAACTGGAGTTACAGACAGTTGTTAGCTGCCATGTGGGTGCTGGGATTTGAACCCGGGTCTTCTGCAAGAACAGCCAGTGTTCTTAACTGCTGAGCCATCTGTCCAGCCCCAATGCTCTACTTTTTAAGAATTTTAAACTATTCATTCTATTGACTTTTCTTCATTGTTAATAGTGTTTATAAGGAGAAGTTCCACATTGGAAGTGGTCCAGGGTGGTGCCCAGATTCTACCACAGAAAGTAGGAAGTGATTCATTTTTATGCCCTAATTTCCCTACTTGAAAGTCTTCTTGGGCTCTTTAACTATGGTCCAGATAGAAGCTTGCACTCCAAACAGGACAGAGTCCTACAAGGCGGGATTGCATCTCATTCTCCCTCCTAACCCTTCAGGTGCCTCTGAGAGGCTGGGCCTAGGTGCCCATTTGATCAGCCTTGAGAAATGGGTCTAAGGAACAGAAAGGCTCCTTCTCATGTACTCTAAGAAGCTGTGGCATTGCTTTCCCTGATGTTGATTTCTCACGTGGCTTGGGGTTCTGGACACATACTTTTAGGTCCCCTCACCAGGCAGTTTTATCTCACTCCAGAGTCAGCACAGCAAACTGCCAAGGCTTAATGTTTTCAACCCTCCCTCCATTCCCTCAGCCTCCTCAATCACCATTCCTTCTGGGATCCGGGTAAGGGCCTGCCTCAGAGAACCACCTTCCCTTTTGAGAGAACAGTACTTCTCAGTATATTGAATAAGCGAGGATGCTCTTGGCTCAGACTGCCACTGGCTACATGGCCACTATGGGTTTGCATTGATAGTGGGTGGAACATTCAGAGGACAGGTATGGAAGCCGCCACCCATGAAGGGTAGATGACAAGGCCTGAATTTAAATACATATAGAAGAGTTGCCATGAATTATTCAGCTCTGTGGTGATAAGCTTAAGACCCTCTAGTGCATAAGAAAAGTTTTACAGTATTTAATATGCTCAGGAATGCAATTATATTTGAGTAGCTCAAAACACAAATAAATTAGAAACCTGAAGACGGTGATATTTAAAAAAGCCTTCTTTGCAACAACTGGAGCATGTGCTTGGTTGATTAACATCTGGGCTCCAACAATAGCCAGCCATTCTCCTAGGGAACCCAGAGAAAGACCTTGGTGGAGACGGAAAAGCTGGTGTAAGGTTACTCATTCATGCTCAAATCTAAGGCAGATGGAAATTCCAGTGCACCAAGGCACTGAATGGTACAATACCCAGCTCAAACACTCAGCGCATCAGTCCATGGTATGAATGCAGGCCTGAGTTTGTCCTTCACGTGACCTTCGTATGATAATCTTTGAGATGAGGGACTGTTCCTTGGGCAGACCTTACCACCTCACCACATTTTCATATACTTTATCTCACACCAAACTTTGTTTTTTTCTGGCAGCCTAAGATATTCATCCAAGATGTCTGGATGCCCCTCTGCCAGACATTGCTTCTGCTAGAGTGGGTGATGGTTGGCATCATAGACAGCAGCCTGGATGGGACAGACCTCGACCTCTAGACGTGTTTGTTCTTATTTTATTATTTTTTATTTTGCTTATTATGCGTGTGTGTGTGTGTGTGTGTGTGTGTGATATGCCTGTGTAAGTACAGATAAGTGCATGTGTCCTGGTACATGTGTAGAAGTCAGACAACTTTCAGGAGTCAGTTCTCTGTTTCCACAGTGGGTTCCGGGCACTGAACTCAGGCTATCAGGATTGCATGGCAGAAGTGCTTTTGCCCACTGAGCCATTTTGCTGGCCCCTCTACACATATTTTAAAAAGCCAAAGGAATTGGCAGTTGCCAGAGGTTGAGGGGAAGCAGAAGGGGGAGAAAGGCTGTATAATGAGTAAAGAGGTACACTCTGTGCAATGGAAATACTTTGGAACTTGGAAGAGGTAGTGGATGACAAAAGCCAGGCATGTCCTCAAGGCCCCTGGGTTGTTTACTTTAAAATGATGAATTGTGAAGCCAAGTACAGTGGTACACACCTATGTCTCAGATACTTGGGAAGCTGAGACAGGAGGATTACAAATTTGAGGCCAGCCCGGGCTGTAGTGAGACCCCATCTCAAAAATAACTAAATAAATAAGATGAATTTTGTGTTATGTGAATTTCACCTCAATAACTGTGTGTGTGTGTGTGTGTGTGTGTATGTGTGTATGCTCTGGTATGTGTAGTTGCACAGGTATGTGCAAATGTATAGAGGCCAGAACTGACTTCAGCTGTCATTCCTTAAATGTTGTCCACCTTGATTTTTGAGACAGGGTCTCTCACTGGCCTGGAAGGGATCTGCCTGTGTCTGCCTCCCCAGTGCTGGGATAAAGATAGTATACCACCATTCACAGTTTTCTTTTTATTGTGTGGACTGAACGAACACAGGTCTTTAAACAATATTTTATTTGTTGTTTTATTTTATGTGTATGAGTGTATTGCCTGCATGTATGTAGGTGCACCCACATTGTGCAATGCTCAGGGAGGTCAAAAGAGGATGTTGGATGCCCTGGAACTGGAGTTAGGGTGGTTGTTAGCTGCATCTGGGTGCTGGGAACAGACCTGGGTCCTCTGCAAGAGCAGCCAGTGCTCATAACTGCTGAACCATCTCTCCAGTCCCCTGAACTCGGGTCTTTATGCTTGTGTGGCAAGTACTTTATCAACTGAGCCACTTCCCCAGCCCCAGCACATACATGTATATATATAATGCATATATATATATATATATAAAGAGAGAGAGAGAGAGAGAGAGAGAGAGTAATCAAGAGAGACAATTTCCTAGACTTTGTAGAATACTAAGGTGAAACTAGCTGTTTTATGGCATGGGCCGCTGTTGAGCCTCACTGCCTGGTAGGCACAGAGATGGGGGTCACCTATGGGGAAAGGTGTCATTTCTGCCATAGTACTGTAAGAGGCATTAATGCATAAGAAAGCAAATAGAAAGGGAGAAGGTAGAAGGGGCTCTGGGAACTGTCATTACCTTCCACCTCACAGCCCAGCAGCTCCATCCTCAGCCCGAGCCCGCTGTGTGTGGCTCTCTCAGGGTAGATCCTGATGAATCGTGTGGAGAGGGGTGAAAATGCCCGGAGCTCAGGTGTGTCATAGTTGCTGTTGCCTTCGAAAGTCTGTGAAGCAAAAATAGCACTAGTTATTAAGAAAAAAAGGGCTTGGAGATGGGCAGTTGGTAAAATGCTCACCTTGCAAGAATGAGATGCAAGTTCAGTTCTCAAAACCCATGCAAAAGACAGTTGGGCATGGCGGTGTGTGCTTGTGATCCCACCACACACAGAGGCGGAGATAGGCAGATCCATGGAACTTGATAGCCAGCTAGCCTAGCCTAACTGGCTAGTCCCAGACCAGGGAGAAACCATGTCTTGAAAATCAAGACTGACAGTGCCTGAGGAACAAGACCAGAGTGTGTCCTCTGCCCTCCACATGTACATGTACCTGCACATATACCTTCATACAAACCTCATACACATGCACACACATGAAGCCTCTCTTTGGGTGGTTGTTCCTTCTGTAGGACAGTGAAAATGCCATCTAAGGGATCAGTAATTTAGTGTGAAGTAAGCCATGAATAGAGAGATTAACAGAAGAAAAGATGTCCACATTTAAAATCTTCTCAGAGGCTTTTAAGAAAAGTGACTACCTGAATACCCAGTGAACTCTAGAAGTTCACATCTCTTTCTAGGAAAAAGTATAACCAACTTAGGGGACAGAAAATGAGTTCTGGAAAGATGCTTAGCCCTGAGAAGGTAACACCTGTTCCCAGTATGTTTGGATGAGGTCCTGACCCCATGTGAAATGACCATCACTTTCCCCAGTTGATGATATTCCCAGGACAGGATTCCTGACATCTCTGTTTCTCTTGGGGGGATCTCCTGTTAGAAGGTGAGTGGAGTTCAGAGAGAACCTTTCCTGGACTTCCTGGTCCCCACAAACCTTGAGCCAGAAATCCCAAGAGCTCATCTGGGTGTGGCATTTCCTGACCTCCTTCACCTGCTTCAGGGTTGTGTGTTACGCATGTGTATGTTACACAGGTGTGTTACACATGTGTGCATGTTACACATGTATGTGTTCCCAAGCCTGTGCACACACAAGTGGAAGCGGGAGGTTGATGTTCATGTCTTCCTAGATCACTTTCCACCTTATATTTTGAGACAGAATTTCCCACTGAATCTGGAGCTCACCAAATGGCTAGACTGGCTGGCCAGGGAGCTTGAGGGATCTGCTTGTCTTCACCTCCAAGCTGCCACGCTGACTTTTTACTTGGGTTCTGGGGATGGAACTCAGGTCCTTGTGCTTGCACAGTAAGCACTTTACCCACAGCCATCCCCTCAGCCCTCTGCTTCAGGACTCTTACTAGGATGGAGCAAGGGGCCTGATTCCACCCTGTTAGAAACGGCTGACATTTATAAGCGAGAAGGAAAAAAGCAAACATCCTCTAAGAACTGACAGGCATCATTTCTCAGGAATTTTGCAGTACATGCTGAGGCTGTAGCAGAAGATGAGGATATACTGAGATGCTCTCAGAGACACACGGGCCTTGAGGATGTGGCATTATCACGTCTTTGAGGTGAAAGAAAATAATTCAGGAGAGATCTTACTCTTTCTCTGAGCTTATACTAGGTATCACATTCCAATAAATACCCCAGTTACCGCCTCTTAAATGGGAGGTTCCTGGTTTGTTCACACTTGGTCCTCTTGAAGAAGACAAACTAATTTCTTGAAGTAGGAGATACTGATTTCTTTATGTGATGCTTGAGATGGAAATAAAGTTTCCCGCATGCCAAGAAGTGCTCTACCCGTAAGCTACAGCCTCAGTTCAGAGATAGTTAACTGAGTGGGGTACAAATGCGGTATTTCAAGACCTTGGGTTATTCCAATAAGCTGTGATCTCTTTGCTTAAGAAATACTACCAGGTGAAGTTGGTTACTGATAAAAGGCCTTCTCCCCTCAGGCAGGTAACAGGGGTTCTGATTATTAGGAATGCTCTGGTTCTTGGTTGAACTAAAGTGTGCACTGGCATCTCTTTCTGGTATGTTTGTTTGTATGATGTTCATGTGTATTCCCGTGTGTGTGTTCATGTGGAGGTCAGAGGACAACCTCAGGTGTCATCCTTCAGGCACTTTCTGCCTTTTCCTTAGGACAGGGTCTCTCCCTGGCTTAAGGTGTACCATTAGGCTTGGGTGTGGCTAGCTCGTCAGTAATCCCTAGAGATCAGTATGTCTCCACCTCCCCAAATGCTCACATCAAGGACCTACCTCTACAACCAGCTTTTTTAGTGGGTTCTGGGTATCAGACTCAAGTCGTGTATGCAAGACAAGCATTTTATCTACTGAGCTATCTCCCTAGCCCTTGCCCAGTTTTTAGAGATGAGGAAATTGAGGCATACAGTAGTCAAGGAATTTGCCCATGGCAGAGCCAGGATTCAAACCTGTATTGACTTACTAGTGTTCTTAACCACACCACCAAGATGCCCCTGCTCTTAGTAACCATGTAGTTTAGTCTCCTCATTTCTTAAAAGTATTTTTGATTGTAGTGCAGCTTGCTATGGTGCCTAGGCCTGACTAGAATTCCTGAGCTGACATGATTCTCCTGCCCCGGACTTCTCTATATCTAAGGAGCCCACAGTACCCAGCTTCTAGCCCCTTAATTACATCTGTATTCAAAGAGACACATTTACATTCACTGGTGGATCTTTAACTTGATACAAACTGGCTACCAGATGAGGGGCCAGCCTGGTCATGCCAGGCTGAGTAGGGGCACATCGCATGGGTCCACATCCTAACACAGCTGATGTGAACATCAGGGAGGACATACCACACAGACAGAAGAGACAGACAGACAACCAAGGGCTCTGGATTCTAGGAGAAAATTAATTGGCCTTTTCTAATTCAGAAAAACCACTAGGAATCTACATGCTAATTCAGAGCTGACTCTCACAATTAATCTCCTTTTTTTTCAAGGAGTAAATTTGCTATCAAGGTCCCGACTCTTGATAGAACTGCAATTGCTGAGAGCAGTTGAGAATCTGACATATATTATTGTTAGGCCCAATTAAGATGTTGTCAGTAATATGCTAAGTATACTGAAAACACCATTACCACACACACAAGTCCTATCTACACTGATGCAGCTTGGAAGATCAGAGGAGAAACACTGACAGTTATGGAATCCTGGGTCCCTCTCTCAGCTTGAGTAAAGAGCAAACACAATGCAAATACATTAGAAAAGCAGCCAGTGCTGAGTTGGGAGGACCCAGCAGTGAAAGCCACACGTAAGAGCTGGTGGCAGAGGTTTACTTAGGAATTACCAACAATCATGCTTTAGAGCATGAGGGCTTTGACCCTTTCCATTCCTGGGAAGTCTAGTAAATCCAGACACTGACATGTAACCATTTTGGAAATAGAGAACATAAAAGAGAGAGACAACTATGCCCTCCCTTTGGCTACCAGACATATTGAAACAATGGACCCTAAGGAATTAGAATTTCCCGGGAAATTCTGGGAAAACAAAAAGGCAGAGGCCTGGGGCCAGCCAGAGGGCGAGCTTTATTCCCAGGAAGAGATCTGACATAGTTCTGACAATTTGTCAGACCACAGTGCAAGAGAGGCTGGAGCTGAGACAACATGGGTCAGTGATGGGTAGGACCACACCTCGACCAGCACTGCTCAGCTATGCATACCTCTTGCCTTCTATTTAAACCTAAACCTCATGTCACAACTCTGAAGATGGACTTGGGGGGGGGTCACTGACCTCTTTTTCGTTCATTTTCCTGATATGGCCACATTTATGAATGCATCTCCTTTCTCTGCTTTTCACTGTTACTTGTCTCTTGAATGACCTCATGTCACAACTCTGAAGATGGACTTGGGGGGGGTCACTGACCTCTTTTTCGTTCATTTTCCTGATATGGCCACATTTATGAATGCATCTCCTTTCTCTGCTTTTCACTGTTACTTGTCTCTTGAATGAGCCTCCTGAGGATGAGTGGCTGAGCCAGGCCTGTGAGGCTGCTAAGGCCAGGCTCGGACCCTAACAACTCCTGTAGCAGATAGACCTTGCCCATCACACTTTGCAGGTGGGCATAAAGGAAGGGCAGAGAGGAGCCGAACTCATTAAAGCATTGTTTTATCTTTCAAACAGTCTCATTTCACTTTGACAAGGAAGATGGTGGGCATCCTTAGCAGACAGCCAACATTTGTACCATTAAGAAACATAAAATATGTTTCAAATATCTTTATATAATTTTAAATTGTGGTCTGTCTGAGATGGAACATTATACCAATTTCCGTTTCAATCTTAGTGATTTTATTTCCATGGACGGGCATGTCAAGAATCACAGATGAGACTCAGTCTAGACCATTTAGAAGTCTCCATGGTTTCAGATGCCAGGGGAAGATGATTGTGATGGATATTTCAGGACTAAAACCCAACACATTCAACCAGTATCCAGTGGAAGGTTTTGTTAAAGTCGAAACACATGCGTTAGCTTCATGTGCAATTCTATACTAGGTTTACAGCGACAGCGACTAGGTTTACTGCCAACTGGAGGGTTAGATAACAGACAGGAAGCATATGATACCTCCTATCAGACACATATGGACACTTGTTTGCTCTCTCTCAGAACCCTAGTGTGGAAAAACGTGTCACAACACACCCTGCAGCGGCAGCAGTGGGGAAGTGGCTGATCTGCAGCCGATTCACACTCTGTGATGAAGTCACAACTGTCCCTTCTTCCTAAACGTCAGGGTAGAGCGAACTACAGTTTCTGATGTTTTACTTTTCTTTTTACCAAGTTGAGAAATGGACATAAGAGGGAGAAGTGGGCAGGTGAGATAGTGCAACTGGTAAAGTGTCTGCCTTGTAAGCATGAGGATCTGAGTTTGATTTCTAGAACCTACATTTAAAAAGCTGGGTGTGATGGTGCACACTTGTAATCCTAGTGCAGGAAAGGCAGAGACAGAAAGATTCCTGGGGCTCACTGGATAGCCAGCCTAGCTCAGCGGGCGAGTTCCAGGCCTGTGAGAGACTCTGTCTCGGAAACAAAGTGGATAGCATCTGAGAAAGGACTCTGGCCTCTAAATGCATGCATACATGCATGCAGAGCACACACAAATGCAGTTGTGCATACAAATATGCAAACACAAGAAAGAAAGCAGCTTATGAGCTGGGGCTGCAGCTCAGTTGGTAGAGTACTTGACTACTATGCACCAGGCCCTGGGTTTGACTCCCCAGTACTACATAAACCAAGCATAACAGTGCATGCCTGTAATCCCAGCAGGAACAGAGGAAGTTCAAGTCCATCTTCAGCTACCTACTGAGTTGGAGAGCAGCCATGGTTGGAGGCTACATGTGACTGGGTCTCAAAAAAAAAAAAAATGTAGCAACACAGTTAAACATAACACTGAGATGCTTCAGAAAGCACAAGTTAACTAGGGATGGGGGAAAGTCTTCTGCTTCCCATGCAGCATTGGCTCGGTTTGTGGTGGCCTCTCAAGTGCTAGTGACCTGCAGCCTCAGAGCGACAGGGTGGTCTCTTCAGAGTCCCACATCTGGAAGGAAGGGAGCTGGCAGTACGATCCAGATCCAGATTGGTTCCTATCTGCAAGACCTTGGCCCGAGTTACTGCACTGTCACATTCTCACACTGGTTAGAATGGGTGAGAGGAATGTTCCAGCCAATGAGCTGTAGTCTTTGCCCACAGGGGAGCAGCTAGGGGTGAGCAGAGCTGGAAAGGCCCAGGCCAAAGGCCAAAGGCCAGCTTTGATGGTGTGAGTGTCACCAGCTGAGTACATGAAGAATCTGGGAGTGGATCCTTATTTTCATTCAAAATCCACCTCAGGGCCACCCAGCACACTCCTGGGATCCTTTCCAAATTGGTGCGGTGTGCTCAGGGAATGCAAATAAGTTCAGCCAGCAGCCTGAGTAAAGCCTAATGACCAAAGCACATCTTTTGGCTTAAACGATTTTATCACATTTCTGTGAATGTTAGAATAGTTTTATGTTGAGATTACCTTCTGTTTTCATTGGGTTAGCAAGAACTGACTGAATTTCGAGTGATTCTAAATGCATAAAAATATATGTAAGCATTGTTTGCAATAGCTAAAGGATGGAAACAACCTAAGCATCCATCAGTGGATGAATGTATAAATTAAATGTGGTCTTCCACACAGAAGAACACCATTCAGCTCTCAGAAGGAAGGGAATGATGGTACAGGCTAGTTCAATGTTGTGCTAAGCCAAATAAGTCAGCCATGAAGTGATAGATAGTCTATGATTCACTTAAACACCGCTCATGAGTGGACAGAAAGTAGAGTGGTGATGTGCCAGGGACTGAGATTGGGGGCACAATAGTTACTGTCTTTGGGTGGTAGCCTCTCCCTGTTCCCAGGCCTTACCTTAGCCTTGCGCTTGCTGTCGTCCATGATCATTTTCCAGTCCGAGCCATTGTTGCTGTGTGCAATCTTGAATTTCCTCATGAACACCTTGTTTTCTCGGTGTTTCCCACCCTGGATGATAACTCCCCTCACCATCTTCTCATCCCCCAGGTCCACTTGGAGCCACTCATTGACGTATGAATGGGTTGTGGGTGGCAGTGCCCAGCCTGAGCGACTGGTCACCAGGCGGATATTTTCTGGCATCCAGTTCCTGTCTTCTTGGTTGGATGCTGTAATCTGGGAATCAGAAATAAGTCCAGAGACCATGCCCAGCATTCCAGAGCAAGGGTAATCTAGGTATAGAGTAAAACAGATGAGATGAGGTTATTTTCTGGGAGACTCCACGCTTAAGAAAGAAAATGCAACCTATTGCCTTGTCCCCTGTCCTGTAAAATGTTCAACCTCCATGCTACTTTATGTTAGACCAGAGCCTTCCAGTAAATAAGCCCTTTCTCTATTATTTCTCCTGACACCCACATTTTGGTTAAAGGAAATCTTCAGTAAGAGCATACCTTCCCACACCTTTTTATTTCTGCAAGTTTAATGTCAAACTGTTGAGGCTCTGGTCTCTTTTGTGCCCATGAATTATTCCCAGCTCAATGTTAAATCCTGCCCACAAGAAGTTCACAGTTCCTGATAGGCAAGAGGGAAACGGTGACAGGAAGGCGACAAAGGGCTCGACCTAGGTAGCACAGTGAGGGTGAAGGGGCTCAGGAGCATTAAGGGTGGCACCCATCTCACTTTAAACTGCCCTCCATCCCTAATTTTTTTTTAATACAAGGTCTCATGTAATCTTGAACTTCTTGTGTAGCTGAGGATGACCTTGAACTTCTGATCTTCCTGCTTCTACCTGCTGATTGCTGGGATTATAGGCAGAACATCACACCCAGTTCATGTAGTGCTGTAGACTGAACCCAGGGCTAAGTAAGCACTAACTGAGCTAAATCACCAGCTATCATCCCTTTGCTTTAATTAATAATTAATTAATTAATTAATTAATGAGACAGGGTCTCACTATATAGCCCTGGCTGGCCTGGAAATCACTATATAGACTAGGCTGATCTTGAACTCACAGAGATTGACCTGCCTTCACCTCCCAGGTGCTCAGATTAATGGCATATGCCACCATGCCTGGTTGGTCCCTGCTTTTAAAAAATATTTATTTTTATGTGTATGTGTGTGCTTGCTTGTCTGTGTGTATGTGGAGGCCAGAAGAGGGTGTTTGAATCACCTAGAACTTGAGTTACAGCCAGTTTTGAGCTGCCAGATGTAGGAGCTGGGAACTGAACCTGGTTCCTCTGCAAAAGCAGCAAGTGCTCTTAATCACTGAGCCTCCTTCCAGGCCCCCTCATCTCTACTTTTAATTGTATTGGGAAAATTTCACAGGGATATCTCAGTCACTCAGATGAACAGTGCTCACAATAAATCAGTCCTTTTAAAGCCCTTGACGATGAATCCTCTTGCCAAGCTCTGCGTTTTAATCACTGGCAGCATCAAAGAGTCCCAGCCGAGTCATCATTCTTGCTCTAGTTTCCTTTCCCGCTTTGTTTCCTGTCATGTTTTCATTGTGAAAAGAATAATCTTGGACCTGCCTCAAAGTCTCTGTTTCTTGGGGCCTTGCCCTGACCCTCTGGTATGGGCACCACTGCCAGGGTGCTACATGAGCTCTTAGCTGGGCTTCTAGGCACTGCAGCTGCATCAACACCGTACTAACCCCTTGTAGCCGTTCATGAAATGTTGTTTTTGCCATGTCATTCTCGTGCTCAAAAGTTCCCCGTGAGATGAGTCAGGTACCAAGGGACTGGCACTGTGAGGCTCTAAGGACGTAAGGTGCTAGAGTGATCAAAGTCATAGAGAGCACAATGCCATTACAGAGATTCGGGGTGGGAGGAGAACAGGCCTTAATGTGTAATGGGTGCCAAGGTTTCAGTTAGGCTGACCAAAGGGTCTGGAAATGGGGGGAGGAGATGGCTATACAACAGTGTGATTGTACTTAATACAACTGAATTGCACCCTTAGATAGGGCTGAAGTCCTTAAATTGTATGTCACATTTATTTTAACCACAATGATTAAAAATAGACTTCTTTAAAAATATGTCATGGTTCTCTATTATTTTAAGCAAAAGTTTCTATCTGGGTTTTTAAGAATCACATTTTGGGTACAGAGGAAATAGCTAAGTTTGTAAAATGCTTGCTGTGCAAACACAAGGACTTGAAGAATGACACTCAGGGCTGGCCTTCATACATGTGCACATGTATGAATGTGCACACACCCCTTCCCCCATGAACTCACCTATACATACAAGGCACATGTATACAAACACATGAATTACATTTTGGTTTCACCTTGCCTATTTAATTTATCCAATTGCAGAAAATATATCCCAGTTAACCAATTTTCCTTCACATTCCGTAGCTAGGATTCCCATTACTGCCTTTGGTCAACACAGTCAGCTTCCTTTCTCCTGCTGACAGGTGCACAGCCTGTGCGAACTTTAAGACATAGTTTAAATTCATCCTGACAACTTCAGCCTCCTTGCTCTTCATTCTGAGGTCTCCCCTCCTGGGAATACAATGACCAGAGCAAAAAGCGGCCCAGAACTGAAGCTGAGTGGTGCTGTGGATTGGCTGGGGTCGTCAGTCTTGGAATCACAGCTGGACTCTAAGACCCTGGAAAGCAGTGAGGTATATCACAGACCTCTTCACATGTGTAGCACCTCCTCACTGATTGATTGGTTGTCAGCTTAATAAATGACTAACATTTCAATTGTTCTTCTTTCAAAGCTATACATCTCAATCAGGCATATGCAGGAATTAATAGCCTATTTTTCTTTGAAACAATTTCATTGTACACAATATAATAAAATTCTGGCCTAAGCTACAACCACCCTGAGTGAGAGCCATGCTTCAACTGTGATTAAACTACATTGGTGTTCCCAGCTGACCCTTAAGCACAGGTCAGCCAGCTCCTCTCCACACAAGCTATATAGTTCTAATGGTTCATTCATCACATGGGCCTGCCTGCAAAGCCTCACACATCACACTTCTTGGTTCCTCATTCACACCTTCACTGGCCCTAGTTAGACGAAGCTCTTCCTAGGGGGTGGGTGGGGTGGAGGGCAGCCCTCTCCCTTTCATCTCTCCACTAACCCCGCCATCGTCTTGTCCTTTCCACCATCTGATCTGCTGAAAATACTGAAAATACCATTTCATTTATTCAGCATTTCCAGTATGCAGTTGGACATGGTCTTCCATTTCTGGGATGCCTCATGATACTTGATTTGTACCTTTCTCATACTGACAATCTTACTCATTTCTTTAAATAACTGCTGTCTGTCAGCCCAGATTTTAATTACCCTCCCTCCTTCCCTCCCTCCCTACCATTCCATTTTTGACAGGAGCTTATATATCCCGGGTTGACCATCCTGTATGTAGCTGAGGATGACCTTGAGCTCCTGACATTCTTGCCTTTACCTCCCACACGCTAGGCTTTCAAGTGTGCACTGCCATGCTCAGTCTATGGGGTGCTGGCGATGGGGCCCAGGGCTTTGTGTATACTGTGTAAATACTCTGCCAACTGAGTCACATTCCCAGCCAGATCTTAATTTTGTTGAGGGCATGAAACAAGTCATATTTTTCTATTTTTGGTAACTCTCTTGCTTTTTTCATATACTGTCAACTTCAACAAATACTTGCTGAGTGAATCAACTTATTACAACGGTCAGAGGCAGCTGCATTTTGTCCGGCCTCCTTCCTGTAACTCACCCTGGTATTTGCCCTGGGTGGGATCAGAAACCAAGAATAAACTCAATAGGAATAATTTTAAAAAAAGATTTACAAAAGCTATTTTATTGAGGGACTGTGAAACTATCATGTTCAAATTAAAAGTTCCATTTCTTGGCTGGGTGGTCATACCTGCTTGCCGCCGCCCCAGCTTTTAAAAGGTGACCCTCAGCTGGCAATGACAGCCATCGTATCATTAACACCTGGAAACAATGCAATTAACTTGGACTCTGCAAGGAGAGTGGTCCCTTCACCAGATGAACACCTTTCCTCTTACACAGAGCTTCCGAGCTACTTCTGCCCCCCTAAACCTGGAGATACCCAGCCCACATTCAGCCAGCACTCTTAGTACAGAGTCAGTCTCCAGAGCTTCTCCAGGAGTACATCTTCAAAAAAAAACCAGCAAAGGGGAGTTTGGATTGGCCATTGACTGAAAACTATATGACTCAATTTGTACATGTGTGTGTACATATGTATATGGATGAGTGCACACATGTGGGCGTGTGTGGAGGTCAAAGACAACATTAGGCATAGTTTTACAAGTGGAGTCCACCTTATTTATTGAGACTAGATCTCTTACTAGCTTGGAGCTAGCCAATTAGGTCAGACTGACTGGTTGGTGAGCCCCAGGAATCTTCCTACCTTCACCCCTCCAACTCTGGATCCCAAGTGTATACCACCATGCCTGGTTTACATGGGTTCTTGGGATCAACTCAGGTCCCCATGCTTATAAGCTAAGGACTTTACTGATTGAGCTATCTCCTCAGTCCAGCCCATGATTCACTTTTAATAATGATGAGGAGAAAATTTATATTAATAATGAATACAATGTTTGTGTGAGATACTGGTTTTCAGAGTTGGTTTTCCATGACAGACTGGCTTACATGCACTTTAGCCTGTGTTGTTCGGTTTAGCAAAGAAATAACAAAAGAGCAAAAAATAGGGCACCCGGCTAGACTGGAATTACAGAGAAACAATGAACAATTTTTAGTGTGTATCCAAAATATGGTGATAGGATGTAGTTATACTATAAATTATTCTTTGTTCAAAGTTAACTGTGCATTCTGTGTTTTGTCTACTAATACTGCTTTCTGCAAATCTTAAAATCAATCCTGGATGAATGGAATAAATGTGTTATGTTATGGGGACTTGATGGAGCTATTATTAATGGCATTATTTTACCTAAGATTTCTGTACTTGATTGTAAAGAACAAACTGAATTATATTAACAAAATATCCAGTTAACCAATTTTCAAAGAATGAGAAAGTAACTGCTGGGTGTGATGGGAACCCTGAATGAGTATCATCCAGCCTTGCCCTGATGATTCAGGAAGTTTCCTGGGGGAGTTGTGGTGTCTGGGAGGGTCACCGTCATGTGTGATTGACAAAAGCACATGGCTAGGTGTGATGGAATAGCGGTGAGCACACAAGCTGCATTCGACAGCCCTGCAGAAGCCCTGCAGCACCATCTTCACCAATTTTCTCCTTTGCCCAAGTGATAACAGCCTGCTTTGAAGAAACAACGAAAACATTTCTTCATCAATCACCTTTGAAACAGGATGATTCACCCTAATCTATCTTGTCTTTTAGTGGGGTAACACACCACTGTATATCCTGGATCTCCAAGATGGCTGTATTTCTAAAGAATTTCTGAGTGCAAAACCTAGACTCAAACTTGGGACTCTGGAGAAGGCCTCGGAAGTACAGTGATATATTCATAACATTTATTTATTTATTTATTTATTTATTTATTTATTTAAGGGTCTCCCCATAGCACCAGCTGGTCTGGAACTCACTACCTAGACCAGGCTGCCCCAAACTCACAGAAATCCACCTGCCTCTGCCTCCCGAGCTCTGGGACTAAAGACGTGTGCCACCACACCCGGCTATAAAATATTTTTAAAAACTTACGAAGAAAGAAAATGGAGGCGGTCTCCCTGTAGCCCCAGCTGGCCTGGAATTTGTCATGTAGACCAGGTTGGCCTCAGTCTCACAGAGATCCACCTACCTCTGCCTCTCAAGCACTGGGATTAAAGGTGCATACCACTACACTCAGCTTGTATCATAATTTTAAAAAATTATGCTAGGTATGGGGGTGCACACCTTTAATTCCAGCCCTCAGGAAGCAGAGACAGGTGGATCTCTGTGAAAGCAAGGGCAGCCTGGTCCACATAGTGAGTTCCAGGTGGGCTGGGACTAGGGAGACCCTGTCAAAATAAATAAAAAAATAAATAATACATATATACATACATAAATATTAGGTAGTTTCTTTAAAAAATTAAATTGAGTTAGGACTTGCCTACTTATAAAGAGAAGCTTATCAGAAAATCCAAAGTTGCTTATCAGAAGGCATGATGGAAGTGGAATTCATTCCTTTAGAAATACCCACTGAAACTTACAGTGCTTCAGGCCCATATGGTACAAGACTAAGCACAATGACCAGTCCCTGCTCTCCTGCATGGTCTAATCTGATAGATGATGATATATCATCAGCCTGCACTTGGAGAGGACTGGGGCCTGGAAAAGAAGGAACCACACAGCAGTGACTGTCTCATTGCAGGCTCTGCCTGGGGCTTATCCTACATTAGGGTGTACCATGCCTGCCTTGGTGTACAGGGGCCATTTACTAAGCATGTACTCTAAGCCAAGTTCATTATAAATATTCTTTCACTTAATCCTCATTGCAGCTCATTAGGGCTACTCTTACAGGTTGGGGAATGGAGATCACAGACACAAAGGTCTTGCCTGTAGTCAGACAGTCACTAGCTGTAAAGTCCTGAACCAAGCATGGTCCTTGTGGCCAGGTGATTATCAGGGTCACACATTGCCATCTCCAAAAACCTGCCAAGGTCAGTTCCCAGGAGATCAGCCATCTCACTAGAGAGAAAATATTTAATTATAGTAGGGGTCATGGTTAAGAGACAAGGGCAACATGCCCAAAAAGTGCTTTATTTGAAAAAATAGTCATGTACTTGAAATAATAATAAAATAAGCTGTTCAAAAATACTAGAATAAACTACTTTAGACACTATTTAAATAAATTGGACATTTTAGTACTTTAAAAATATCCAATAAATTACTTTCTTTATTCACATGCCTAGAATTACCTCTTGGGATATCTTTGTGAAATTAAAAAGGACAATTTGAGTTCAAATAAATATTTTATTTAACTAAAAGGATGTAACATAAATCTTTAAGAGCTGGACAGTCAGAGTTCAAAGTTCAGAGTAATATGTTTGGAGTCTTTATGAAACTATTTCTTTTAAAAAAGAGTATTTCTGACATAGTGACATGAGATAAGGATGAAGAAATGGGCCAGAAATTCCCACCCAGATCTCATGTGGCCTTGTTCCAATGAATTTATGGGTAGCCTCTTAAGTTTGTAATGTTCTGAAATGCTCTGGAACTTTCTGCTATTTAACCATGATCAAAAATAAAACCAAGGTTACATATGACTTTTCAGTGTCCTTCCCTCTTCCAAACACCTCTCCACCCAATTCCTGACTCCAAGACCTTGAGCTTTCTAAGTCTTAGATCCTACAGCCATAAACAAGTCTGTGTCCAAGGTAGAAATAAATAACACTTGTATCTGAAACCAGATCTGGGTTTTTCTTTCCAACATGGACTCTTCTGTAAGCAAATATAGCGTCTCTTCAGCTCCTCAGTGCAGGATGGCTTCTCCCTTCAAAAGTCAGTTTACTTCCTTTTTTTAGAAATAATCAAACTTAGCAGACAAAGCATAAAATAAACCAAGAAATTAAATGCCCTAAAGACGAATACTAACAAAACACTACAAGACTGTTCACAGGTTAGAAATTGCTTACTTTTAATTGCTTTTTTAAAGTGAATCAGTCATTGATTCTGTTTTTCAATTTTTTTTGAAGGTTCTACATATTTATTATTGACCCAATGTGCTCCAATCTCCAGGATAAAAACTTTCAGTTCTATTTGGTAGTCCTAATGATGACTGTGGTTCAGCTTAAATAGTCATGCCATGGTGTGTGAATCCTCATAGACCCAGCTTGGTTCTCCTCCAGTGTCTTCTCTTGGAGTTGTACCTGATTTTGTTACCAGTTTTCATCCGAATCCACTGGGGAATAGGATGATTTTGCTTTTGTTTCTTGGCCAGGAATCGCTTGATTCTGAAAGTCTTGTGAGAGGACATGATGAGAAACCCAGACAAGCGTACAGAAGACGATGGCTGACGAAAGGAAAAGAGCCTGATTTTCAATTTTTAAAATGAATGTGAAGATTGCATGTGCATTGTTGTTGTTGCTCTTTAAATGAAAGCTCTGCAATGTATTTACTTAAGTAGAAGGGAATTGGAGCACAGTTACTGTTACATTGGAACACAGGGTAATCTCACAATAAGTCAGGGACCCATTACAGAAACACTGAAGGCCCTAGACCCAGCGAGACTCAAGTCAGGAACACTGACTTCTGGTTGCCCTGGCCTGGCCTAGCCTCCAGACATTTATCTCTTGGTACCTCATCATTTTCATCTCTTAAATGGGAATAGCCACCTCTTTGTTTCAGTATAAAGAGACACTTCTCAAGTCCTGTCTGAAGAACAGACTGAAAAACCAGAACTTTAATAAGTTGACTTCTAATTTTTAAATATCCAATTAAGTACTGGTGATGTAGTTCAGTGGTAGAGTACTTGCATAGCCTGTGTGAGGCCCAGATTCAATCCCTCATACCATCAGGGGTAAAACACACAGTGTGTGTGTGTGTGTGTGTGTGTGTGTGTGTGTGTGGTTGACACAGTCAACACAAACAGAAGCACCACCTAAAGCAGTGTTGCCTGTGTGCTCAGGGATTAAAAGAAGCCCTTCTCAGAGTTGAGCTTCCTAAGTGTAGCTGAGGAAACCACCTCTAGGCTTCAGAACTGCCAAGAGAAAGCCAGTATGGAGCGTTCCATGGAGCAGCTATTTATTACGAACCTAATTATTACAGTTAGGATGCTGCCCACCCAGGAAGCAGAGAGCAAGTCCTGGGGACTTGCTTTATCGGAGCTTAGATTCAGTGGAAAAGGGGACACTGAGAGAATCCCCAACATGTGCTTGCTTATGCTGAATGCTCCTTGCCCATCTCCCCATCCACCATGGTGAGCAGCCTATGTAGGCACAGAACTATGACTGTTATCCACAGGAAAAACTGGAGGCTTGGAACTCTACCAACAGGTTAATGAGTAGTAAAGTGGGGCTTGAATTCAGACATGCCCAAATCCAGAGTACATGCCCTTGTGGAGGCTTGAATGTGACATGTTCCCACAGGCTCATGTATTTGAACACTTGGTCTCTAGCTGGTGGCCCTGTTTGAGAAAGTTGTGGAACCTTTAGGAGACAGAGCCTCACTGGAGGAAGTGAGTCACTGTGGAGAGGCCTTGAGGTTTTATAGCCTGCCCCACTTCCTGTTCACCCTCTGCTTCCTGATGTGAATGCTCTGTAACCAGTTGGCTCCCCACTCCTGCCACCAGGCCTTCCCTGCCTTGATGGATGGTGTCCACCCAAACTATAAGTCAAAATAAACTCTTCTTCCCTTAAGTTTCTTTTTGTTATATATTTTGTCATACCAATGAAAAAAATAACTAATATAACCCTAAAAGTAAACATGTTGACACCAAAGTCTCCTTCCTGTATGGAAAGAAAGGTTTGCACTAACCCAACAGGGCGACCTCCATATCGGCACTTACCTGTTATCTTGCAGCCATAAACTTCAAATCTCATAGATATGCCTGTTTCCCAGGTCACAGGTTTGATTCGGACAAATCGAGTTATGAGTGGTTTGGGGAAGACTCCAAACACAACATCTGTGGGGTTGGTGTTTCCCTGAAAGATCTGTGTGAGAAAGAGAGGGCCTTTATTAACAGACTAACTGTATTCAAAACAAATCCTAGAAATTCTTTTCTCAAATACGTGGTGGAATTACTGACAGTTCCAAGCATTTGTATCAAGCTTGATATGCCATTAACAAACTGCCATGTCATTTTCCCAAACAGTGGTAATCAGAGAGAACCGTGTTCAATGTGGAATCCTGTTCGAATCGCGTATTCGTGTTTGTGATGCTACAGTCTCCGAAAGCACCATCACAAGGATGACATGTATTAAAGGACACATGCTATCATCTTTAAAAGGGAGATGTTACTAATTTCATCGGAGGAGTTACAGCACGCTGTGCACATTTCATGGGGAATCACACTATCTTTTTCCCCCAGCAACTCCCAGAGGGAATGCTTTTTGAGTTCCAGGTTGTCTGGCTTTTTGAAATTCTAGGCTATGTTCTCAGCTATAACACTAAGCCAAGTGATGCCCTCCCTTTTTCTGTCTTTCTTTGAGGTACTGTCTCATGTATCCAAGACCAGTTTTGCAGTCTCTGTGTAGCTGAAGATGACCTTAAACCTCTGATCTTTCTGCCTCTGTCTCCCAAGTGCTGGGATTTCAGGTATGCATCACTACACCTGATTTATACAGTGTTGGGGATGGATACCAGGGATTTGTCCATGTTAGACAAGCACTCCACCAACTGAGCCATATCCCCAGCCCCGTGCCCTCCCTTCTGACTTAGTCCCTTGGCAAAAGCTCTTACCCAGACATGCATGGCTGATTTTAATACTTTGGAGTTATTGGTAAAATTACGCTTCAGTGGTCAGAGGCAAAACTGAATTATAAATGATTTTTAACTGAAAATCGGCCTTTCCTGGCCTTCTGCTTCTAGGTACAAAATGAATCATTTGAGTCTTAAGGAGGTTGAGGCACGTGACCGCAAAGGCAATGAGGGTTTGGCATAAACCAGGTTCCTGCAAATGTCCTCTGGGACCACATGGAATGTAGCAGTGCTCTTTACAGGCTCTCTGTGGAACAAAAACTGCTGGCCATCATGGAACATTCTGGTACTGGTCCTGCCTCAGGTGGAAGTGGAAGCTTCTGTTTTCTGGATTTTTAAGTCAACCCTGAGTAGATACAGCCAGTCCTTGGGGTGGTACTAGGTGTGTCAAGCATGGTGCTTCCCCACTACCCATCTTCCCAGGGTAGGTACATGGAGTTCCCCAAGCTTTGCACTTCCCCACAGGTAAAGGGTGAGTCAAAGCCAGTCTGGTCTTTTCACTTCATTTGGCATAGGTGGCCCAGCGCTCCTACTGTGCAGATCATCGAGTGTCATCATTTACCCTGGCCTGTGATGGCCTCTGCAATGTGTTCCTACATCAGCATCTCTCTCAGAAACAACCTGTGTGAAGACATTGTCATGTAGCAAAAAAATGAGAAGCTTCCAAAAGGAGTAGGACTTGAAGTAATGTTCTCATACGGCCAGTGAGTTCTCCCAGAAGGCTGAGGGGCCTTGCACACAGTGGGGATAGGTATGTACGCACATCCTGCTCACACCGTTTCCGGTGGATGGCTGAAAAGGAGGCCAGTTTACACTCTGTCCATATGATGAGGACTGCAGGCAGGCTAGGGTTGAAAGTGGACCTTGCCAAGGTCTAGCTGAAGAAAGTAGGAAAGATGACAAGGGCTATGGCGGGAAGAAACGGGGAGGGACACAGGGATAGAGGCCAGCTGGATGCTCCGGTCTCATTTAGGTTCAGTCCCCACATGCCAAGTCTCATGCCCACAGTGTCCTTCCTTATCCTCTCTGCCTCCCACTCTTCGAGTTTCCACTCAGAGCTGGCTTAAAAATCCAGAAAGCAGAAGCCTTGTGTGTGTCAGGATGTTGCTCCAAAACAGGAAGTCATGAAACCTGGGGGCAGCACTGCCTTGCCTCATCTCCACAGGACTGGCTCTGAGGGGTTTTCTTCATCAGGAGGAGAAGGGGTTCCATGTCTGCCAACCTAGATAGCCTCTGTAGTGTCTACAGACTCTTCTATGGAAACTTCCTCCCAGAGACACCTGCCTCCTTCTGCATGGGATTTTGCCCCTGATCAAGGGAGTTCATATTTCTTTTCACTTCTAACTCTAGAAGCTTTTCTCAGTTCAGGTCAAGGCCATAAATATTCAAAAGTGAGTTAAGAACATGTGAACTGGCCTTTCTGCAAGCCCACAGCTTCAAGGTCCCTGGTTCTGTCTTTATTGTTTTCCTGATTGTTACTTGACTATCAGGGTAAGCCTGTGTGTGAGGTGGGGAGGGCTGGGTGCAGGCCAGAGGATAGCCTCAGGTGTTGTTCCTTAGGTACTGCCCATCTTGTTTACTGAGACAGGGTCTCTACTGGCTTGAATTCCCACGAAGACTATGCTCACTGGCCAGTGAGCCCTCCTGTCTCTACCGTCTCAGTACTGGGATTATAGCTGCACCCTACCACACCCAGCTTTTTATTTTCCCCCTCTAACAATCCTTTATTTATTGTATAGGTGTGTGTATGTGGAGGTCAGAGGACAACTGTGGAGTTGGTTTTCTCCCTTCACCATGTGGGTCCCAGGGATCTAACTCAGGTGGTCCAGCTTATTGGCAAGCACCTTTGCTCACTGAGTCATCTCATTGACCTGTTTCGTTTCACATGGGTTCTGGGCATGGAACTCAGGTTCTCATGCCTATACAGCAACCACTTTACCGACTAGCTCTCCAGTCCCTCAAGCTTTTAATTTTGGGTAAACAGCAAATAGGAATTCTCAAAACCTTTGATTAATAAATCAGAGCAGGGAGAACTTCAAATAAACAGGCTGAGGAAAAGATCCTAGCTCCAAAACAGTGGAAGGCAGAGTGCCCAAGGGCACTCTGTGGCCTCCCTGAGAGAAGCTGTGAGGAGGGAGCATGTTAGTTGTGCGATGTGAAAGAACACGGAAAACACCTTCAGTTCTCCCCCTTTCATACAGGCAGCAGCCAACCACACTTGTAAATTAGCTTGTGAGTATTGAGGGTAGATGAAAGGGCGTTTTCTGAAACCAGCCCATTAGAGAGAGAGAGAGAGAGAGAGAGAGAGAGAGAGAGAGAGAGAGAGAGAGAGAGAGAGAGAAAAATATATGAAAGAGAAAAAAAAAACACAAAACAAACAAAACAAAAAAATACAAAAACCCCCCGCCACTCCTCACGCTCTGGGGGGCGAGAGAGAGAGAGAGAAATCTATGAAAGAGAATGAAAAAATACAAGGAAAACCAAACCAACAAATGCAAACAACCCCCGTGACTCCTGAAGTTCTAGGTGGACAGTGTCAGGCTATGCATTGTTAGTCCCTGTGGAACTGAAGTTTGTCATTTAATTTGGCTGGCACTGATTTTTCTTGCAAACATCCATGTAATTTCCTTTTGGCCTCTGGATCTGGGAACATGAGACCCTTTGGTTAGACTCAAACCTCTAATTGCACTTTTCATTTTAAATCAATTCAAAAGTAAACCAGGCCTGACAGAAAGCTCCCAAACAAGCAAGTAAAAATTGATCATGCGTTTGAAAGGCTTTAGTGATGGAGGTGGAGAGGGGGTGGGAGTCAAACTCACAACAGGCTTATTTCCCTCTTTCAGGGTGATCCAGTCCTCCCCATTGGAGCTGATGTCTATTCTGTACGTCTTCACATAATACTTCTTCTTGGTTTCCTTGGAAATGGCACCCTGTGTCCCAACAGCCGTGACAAATCGCAGGAAGCCCAAATCCACCTGCAAGAAAATGACACGTGGGGTCAGTTGGCTGTCCCAACAAGGGCAGCTTTTCCTGCAGGCTCTGCCCTGGGGTTTTCATTCATTGGGACTGGCAGGTATGATATCATGTCTATGTCCCTTATCTTCCCATTCACCTTTCCCATCTACTGCCTTGCTTGGAGCAGCTCAGTTGAGAGGCAGATGGGTCCCAAGACATCACTGGGGAGGAAAAAATATCACAGAGCAGAGCTTGCTAGCTCCTTGTGGTCAGTTTTCCAGGGAGGCGTCCGAACAGGAAGGCGTTACTTCCTGCCCCCACCACATCTCACACACAGGGTTGGCCCCTCTGGAAGGGTGAGCACTAAGGTGGTGTTAAGTTCTGAAGGAGCCCATCTTGATGCACTGCCTCTCAGCAGGTTCCAAAGCTAACTGGTCATGGATTGGAATCCCTGAAATCATGATCCAAAATATACTTTTTTACTTTTTCTCTTGTGTATGTGTACCCATGTTCACATGTATGCAGGTTGATGTGTACATTGGTGCATTCACATAGAGGTCAGAGGTCAACTTTGACTGTAATTCTTTAGATCCTGTTTTTGAGACAGTCTGTCCCGAGGTCCTAGAAGTCACTGATTGAGCTAGATTGGTTGTCAGTGAGCCCCAGGGAATATCCTGTGCCCTCCTCCCCAGTGATGGTATCTCAAGTGTCTATTACCACACTCAGCTTTTTCTTGTGAGTTCTGGGGATTGAACTCAGGTCCTCTTGCTTGTGTGGTAAACCCTTTACCAGCTGAGCCATGCTCCCAGCCCAGAAGACCTTTCTTGCCTCTAATTTCCTACAATTCCTCCTTTTTTCACATTCCTTATGGCTATTCTGCTATAATCAAATCATTTTTTATTAATTTTTCTCATTGTCATCATTAATTACTGCATAGAATTGTAAAATAAAATTCATGATTAATTTCTATATGTTAAGAGTGCCTCCAGTGTCCTTTTATTAATGTGTTTGGTTTTTCCTGTAAACTATTTCTTTCTATTTATTGTATGGCTTGGATTTTACAGAAAAGAAATGTGTTTGAAAAAACAGAGCACTAAAATACGGTAAATTTTTTTTCAAGGCCCAGAAAGTAATTACCTAATATACCCAATTTGCATTGACCAGATATTTCAACAACACATTTGTCACTAGGAGCAATAAATAGAACGCCACTTTCTTTGGAAACAACAAAGGCAGAGTTGTTCCACTCTCTGCTTTGGAATCCTGCTTTCCAGCTACCTGACAGATCAATTTTCAGAAAACACCATTTCAATTAACCCTGCAGTGCCTACCGGCCAGGGGCTTCCGCTGAATCTGGCCTGCATGGACCTGCCTATGAAGGCCGTCTCCTGTCTCTCAGGAACAGTCTTTTCCTGTTAGTCCTGGGAGGAGCTTTGGAAAGCAGCTCTCTGAAGGGAGCCAGAAGTTACCCAGTTCAACAATAGAGTACTTCCACTGCGGGTATGGGAGGCACTTCAGTCCCAACACTGTTTCCATTTCCTTGGTCTAAAAATGTGAAGTTGGGTTGGAGAAAAGGCCCAGCAGTTAAGAGAGCCAGCTGCTCTTGCAGAGGACGGGGGCTCCGTTCTCAGCACCCACATGGCAGCTCACAATCCCCTGTAACTCCAGTTCTAGGGCATTTGACACCTTCTTCTGTCCTCCTCAGGTACCAGGCAGGCATGTGGCAGACTTATACACATGCAGGCAAAACACTCACACATAAAATAAAATAAATCTTTTAAAAAAGTAAAGTCAGGGCTGGAGAGATGGCTTAGTGATTAAGAGGTTGCAGAGGAACCGTGTTCGGTTCCCAGCACCATGGGTAACAACCATTCATAGCTCCAGTTCCAGGGGGCTCCGATGCCCTCTTCTGACCTCTGTGGGCATTGAACGACACAGGTGCTCTTACGTACATGCAGGCAATACATTCACACCATAAAATAAAAATAAAATATTAAAAAAATAAAAATTAAAAAAGTATGTAAACTCTATACTCTGTAAGCTTTCATCAGATTAAAAAAAAAGGGTTGTTTTTGAAAGTCCAGTCAGATTTGAACTTACTATTTCATCAACGATGACCTTGAACTCCTGACCCACCTGCCTCTACCTCCCCAATGCTTGGATTATGCTTATGTGATACTGGGAATGGAACCCAAGGCTTTGCACATGCCAGGCAAATACTCTATCAAAAGAGTCACATCCCCATCCCAGGAATAAAATTTTAATATAAATTAATATTGTAGGCTAATAATGTTGGATGCTTCAAATTTTAATTTAACGAATAATTATCAAGACATTAAAACAATTCAGTACCTATCTTGATAGCTGAAATTGGCAATTATTTTCAAAAGGAAGTTAGGGACTGTTTCATTCCCTTTATGCACAAGTCTCAAAATTGAGAGGTCAGCAATGGCTGTAAGATTTAGCAAAAATACAAGATGGCAAATTAAAATGAATTTCAGACAAAAAGACAGTACTATGCTAACTCAAAAACTTAAAATAAAAACAATTTTAACTATATCCCATACAACATTTGGAATATATTTATACCAACAACTGATTTGCTGCCTCCTTAAAATTCACATCTATCTATCTATCTATCTATCTATCTATCTATCTATCTATCTATCTATCATCTATCTATCTACCATCTATTCATTATCTATCCATCCATCCATCCATCCATCTTTCTATCATCTATCTATGTTTACAGTATTAGGGATCTATTTATCTATTTATTATCTATCCATCCATCCATCCATCCATCTTTCTATCATCTATCTATGTTTACAGTATTAGGGATTGAACCTAGGACCTTATGATGCTAAGTAAGGCCTCTACCACCCACCCATATTTCAGCTCTTTTTAAAAAAAAAAGAAAGAAAGAAAAATTGAGACAGTCTCACTTAATTACCCAAGCTATTCTTGAACTCACTCTTATCCCAGGCAGGCCTGACAGTTGTGATCCTCCTGCCTCAGCCTCCCAAGTAGTTGGGATTACTGTGCGTACCACCAGGCCTGGCTCCCTGAAAATTCACACTTAATTGGGCCTTCTGTGCTGTCTGTCATCCTTACCCATAGTCAGGTGATTTCGAATTCTTACAGAATCTGATCTTTCAGAACACTGGCACCTGCAAGCTAATGAGCACTCTAGACACGGTTGGAGAAAGACTTCAAGAGTCTCAAATGCTCTCAGCACTCCGAGTGCTTTACTGACCATCTGTGAGGTCGTGCCTGTGCGACGTCCACTTGTAAGCTGAAGGGTTCTCAGGACCTTGACGTCCAAGGGAGCATGACACAACGGTGTTTAGATAAACTCTTCCCAACACACTTAAAGAAGGCTCTTCAGTTTAGCAATGATTAAGTTTCCAAATGCATAATTCAACTTGAGTTGATTTGAATTCACTTTAGAAAATCAATCCCTGGGTGTGCTCTTCAGATAGATAGATAGACACAGCATCTCCTATACCAAAGCTGCTTTTGAAGTCACCGTGTAGCCAAGGCTGGTCTTGAACTTCTGATTCCTTGACCTTCACCTCCCTGGTGCTGAGATTACAAACACATGCCACCACACCTGGTCTGTAGGGTGCTGGAGATGGAAACCAGGGTTCGGTATATTCTAGGCAAGTACTCTATCAGCTCAGTTACATATCCAACACCTATTTTCATAATTTTTTTGAGGGAGATTTAGTATTAGGCAGGGAAGAAGTAGTCCTCCTAAAGGAATCCGATGTGTAGGGATCTGCTGACTTTAAGGAAGGAGCCTAAGGCAGGAACAAACAAATCCTCAGTAAAGAAAATGTCCAAAACCTGAACACAAGGCCCCTAAAACACAGGTATGAATCACCAATGAAGAAGAAATTACATTTTCTTTTCTCAACAGCAATAAAAGGCACCAGCAACTTCCTTGGTAATTGCATAAGGTTTCCTGCTGTGTGTTCAACTCTGTGGCTCCTCTTATGTGCCACATCGGAATATCTGAAATTTTGTTTCATTTTTCTTCTTAATATTACTGCCACTGGATTTACTAAAGATACATGACAACCTCGCAAAATCTAGGGTGGAACCTACACCAATGGGACATAGAGAGGATGCTACGTGGATCTCTGACAAGCACAGCCTCCCTGTAGCTAGGGACTCACCATCAATGCGGAGTCTCTTCACAGGTCCTTTCTTTCCAACTGCCTAGGGGAATTCTCTGGAACGGCCAGGGACCTATCTGCCACCCTTAGGTGCCAGTGAAAGTCTGGGAGGAGATGAGATAGCCTCATCAACACCTCTGTTACCACTGTGGTGTTCATGGAAACCCAAAAGGGCTTAACATCCTGGGTGTTATATATGAAAAACTTCAACGAAGGCCACCCTGAAATGTGCCGCTCAGGGATAAAGTTATTTTGAGAGGAAGGCAACTGAGAATCAACAACAGGTGCAAGAAAAAGCACCTGCCCACATCTCTCCTGCCTAACAACAGGGCAAGTATCCTCATGTTAAGGAGCAAGAACGTCCCCTTGTGCTATGCTTCCAAGAGTCAGCACTGGGTAAGTGTGCGTGAGCACACCTTACTGGAAAAACCTTTTCCACTTGCTATGCTTATGAGTGTTCCAGTTACTTTCCCACAATTCATTGGCCTAGAAGCCCAACTCCCTTTTCTTTCATAGAATCATTTCTCCACAGTAATCACCATTTGTTACAAAGGTGTATCAGTGCTTGAATATAACTCAAGTTTTTATTTTCTATGAAGCCCCACTGACATAAAACTATGAAGATCATTTATATACTTTGCTTTTGTTAATCTATCTTTTGTCAGTTTAGTTTGAGGCCTCAGGTATGAAACCAAAACGCGTAGAAAAACAGCCTTTTCTTCTCTTACAAATCTTTTTCACTTGCCTAGCTAATCAGGATGGTGGTCTCATTTGTCTCTCACTGCATCTAGTATTTAGTAACATTAAAAATTTATAATTCCTTGGGAGGCAGAGGCAGG